ACTCAATTATTTTTCCTATTAAACTGTCTACATTAGCATGGAAACATGTAAAAACTTTTTCCAGAAAAAAAACCCTCTTCTCCAACCACTACACCAACTTTGCTCCCCTTCATAGCAAAACTTCTCAAGAGACATTTACTGTCTCCAACTCCTCTCTTCCCAGTCTTAAACCTACATCAATCCAGCTTTTGACTCCATCAACCCAATACAACTACTTTTGATAGTTACAATGTTCTGTATTGTTAAAAATCCATTAATCGATTCTGTTAATATTATTTGACACAGAAAACACTCTCCTTAAAATACGTTTTTGTTTAGCTTTAAAGACACCACATATTCATAATTTTTCTCCTACTTTTCTAACAATTCCTGCTCAGTCGTCTTATTAGACTCCTAACCTATAAACCTTGGAGTGACCCAAGGCCCAGTTTTTCCTACATCTTCTTTTTCTCTTGGTGACCTCATTCAGTTCTCAGGTCTTTAAATACCATAAATAAGTTGACTTTGACCAAAGTAATTTTTAACAGGAGCCTATCCCCTAAACCTGACATTGCTCCTTTTGATTATAAAAGATATCTAAAATTCAAATGTCCAAAACTTAAGTCCTAATCTTCATCTCAAAAGTTGCTATTCCAAAGCCTTCCCTTCTCAATGAGGCAATTCCATTCTTCCAGCTGCCCCCAACAAAAACAAGGAGTTATTCTTGATTCTTCTCATAGCTCACATTTAGAAAATTCTGTTGGTGCTTCAAATTATACTCTAGCCCCTCCTAGTCCCTATCACTTCTCACCAATAATATCACCTTGATCCTAGCCACCTTTTCCTCTCCCCAGGAGTATTACAATTACTTCTTAACTGCTTTCCCATGTTTCTATGTGTAACTCCTTAACTGCCATTATTTAGTGCTGATAAAGAACATTTTAAAATCATTCATATTAAACATCCAAGTATTTACAAGGGCCATGCTCAAGATCTTATCTCTCACCCTATCACCTCATTTGGGACCAGTTTTCCCTTCATTTATTCCTGGTTTCCTTACATTTGTCAATGAGCTATGCAAGTTCCTACCTCAAGAGTTTTTGCATTGATTTCTTCTATCCAGATAGCTCTTTCCCAATATTTTCATGATTTCCTACCTTACTGTGTTTAGGACTTTGGTCATATGCCACCTTCTGACTGAGGCTTTTACTTCCTAAACCACATAGGTACTTAAAATGGCAAAACTCTTTCTTCCTATAACCCATCTACCTCCCCCTTCCAGCTTTATTTGCCTCCAAAATACCTATAATTATTAGACATAAAACATGTTACTTATTCATGGCCTTATCTCACTTAAATATAATCAACAAGAGGGAGATGATTTCCCCAAACATAAAAGAAGCCTCTGGGTCCCAGTAAGCCATCTGTGAAAGAATGAAACTGACATTTAATTTTATAAGACACAAGAACTTTCAGTGTTCTTCCTCTATCTCATTCAAAATATGTGAACAAGAGCTGGGGCTCTAGCTCAGTGGTAGAGCACCTGACCCTCACATGTGAGGCACTGGGTTTGATTCTCAGCACCGCATAAAAAATAAATAAATAAAGATATTGAAGAAATATGTAAACAAAACTTATTACTTCTAACTATATCCATACAAAATTTTTTAAATACAAAAAACCTTCTAAGTTAATTTGACTTCAACAATATTTGAAAATGCTTTCAAATAAAATATTTGAAAATGCTTTCATCCACACTATTCTTTCTAGTAATATGTAATCTTATCTTCATCTCATTATCTTATTATTCAGGATTTACCCACAAGTATATACTTTAAGGAGAAGTCGAAGAGGCATAATATATACCAAATGCATATTGAACCTGCTATTGCGTTCTCCGTGCCACCTTATTTCTACTTTGATTACTTTAGAAACATCTCAATGTGACAAGAATTAGCAAGTTGTAAAGCATTTTTAGTGCTGGTACCAATTTATTTAAATGCCCCCAAATTAAAAGAGTAATTAGAATCCACAGGCAGAAGGGTTAGAAAGAAGCATCTTGGGCTGGGGTTGTGGCTCAGCAGTATAGAGCTCACCTAGCACATGTGAGGCCCTGGGTTTGATCCTTAGCCCCACATAAAAGTAAAAATAAATAAAGGTACTGTGTTCAACTATAACTAAAAAATAAATATATATATTAAAAAAGAAAGGAAGAAGCATCTCTATTCTAGATATCCAGTGTAGGAAATAAGTGTATAGTGCTACCCACTCTAATCTTCTCAGTTGTAATCACCAGCAACAAATGTATATGTAATTATTATTGACCACAGAGACCTGAGCTTGTATATTATCTTTACATTCACATAAAGGTTTTGCCTATTTTTATTTGAGAACTCAATAGCAGAGATTATAGCTACTGAAATGTTCTTGACAAGGTCCCTTGCAGTTCATATTTGTTAATATCAAATCATTAATATAATTAATGATAATCCACTTAAGTGCATGTAAGTAATCAAATTTAGATACTGCAAAAACACTAACTGCTTCTAACATTACCAGAAACTATTACAAAGGAGGAAAGCAATTTACAACTGAACCAACATTTTCCTGGAAGATTTAACTCATAAAATGTCAATGTGGCATACTCATCATTTACACTTACTATGACATGAGGCCTCTGTATGACATACTTTGTGCAAAACACCACTACTGAATCACATTGTGTAGGAGATGCATAACTCACAGCAGCAGTTTTTAAATGTGGTAATGATCTGTCCTCATGATGGAAACTTCTAGAATTGACAAATCTCTCAGTCAGATTTCTCTAATTGCTTTTCAAAACAATTAGAGAGCATTGAAAATCTTTTCTTCAATGGTATTAAAAGAATTTGAGATCATAGTTGCATACTATTTGACCCTTTTCTATTGAAAATTCTACTACTAAGGCTCTGGGTTAGTCTGGGCAATCAACAATGTAACTGAAAAGAAATCAAAAATCAACCCATAGGAATAAACAAAATGATTCATATCTATCATTATGCTTCTCAGCAAATTCTCAGTAACAAAATCATATCTGGCACTGCTTTTATGCCCCATGATGATTTGAAATGAAAATACCTGAGGCTGGATGTTAACTGGTCATCAGAGGGATTGGGCTGGGGAAACAAGTGATGCTAGTAACCTTGCAATTCCTTTCCAACATCTGAATTTCTACAGAATGTCATCCTATTTTTCCCATACAATTTCAGTTCCTCAACATCACTGAGTAGATGAGTATTTTATATTAAATTTCAGAGTGAGAATATAAGACATAGGGTGTATTTGTGACTTTTCTATATGAAATAGAGTGACATCTATATAAATGAGAACAGAGCTGCTAAATCCAAGAGCATACGTCATTCCACACACTTGATAATTAACTTAGTCCCACTGCAATCAATTGTCATTCCACCCCCAACCACTTATTCTATATCAGAACAATACCATTGATTGTTATAATGAGATAAGAATCTCCTGTCTCTCAAAATCCTTTCAATACAGAGGCAGTGTTTCATAAGGAAAGGTTCATTCCAATTTCTGGACTTCCTAATTCAGCCCAGTTGTCCCCCATGCACATATTCTCTTCTCATCCCTACTGACAGTTAAAGTGCACTTTCATCCACAGTGTATGTACATGATTTCATTTGATTCTTACCAACCTATCAGAGACAAGTGGTAATTTTGTTTAGTAATTGCATAATACTAAACACCCAGCAGCAAAGAATGCAAAAATAGTCCTCTCTTCATATGAAACTCTAATCCTAGTAACTCAATAAGGAGAACTGGTAATACAATTTTGTAAATTTCACTGGGAGCTAAGTAGAATGTCTAAAGAGTGATTCCGCCAAAGGTAACAGCAATATCTCAACGCCAACCCCAATCCTCGAAAACAGACAAAAAGACTTGCCTCTGCAGGTAACCAATAACACTGATTGCATTTCTTCTCCCAGGTAATGCGCCTCTAAGGAACTAAAAGTAAATTACCAGGAGGAAAGCTCAGGTTACAACAGTCTACCTAACCCAGGGGGAAAATAGCCCTGTCAAGCAAACATCACGGATATTGAACTGGGACTACTACCACGGTGATGGAAGGCTCCAAACAATCGCACAATTTCAAGCCCTGCCCTTGGTGACCCGCGATCTACTTGTAAATCACCTTCCTAGGCACCTGATTTTGTAATCAGCACCACCAGAACACATCTCTGTGAAACCAAGCCCTACACCTAAAGCCTCAATTCGAAAATGTAACATCACTGAAAGGCCCTTAAAGTCCGACAAAGTTTTGACTTGAGCCTAACAGCATAGACCATGGGCAATTCTAAATCAAGACAAAAATCTCCCTGCCCGGCCAGCAACTGCCCCTGTCCAGCTCACATCCACTCTTCCTCAACCATAAGCCTACACTCTGTCCGCCTGGGTTACACAGGGAGGGTCGGTGGACGGAGCCTCCCGGACCCAGGCTGGGCCAAGACTAGGCCATCTTTCAAAGCTCACCGCCAAGGAGGGCTGGGAACCGTCGGTGCAGTGTCGCACACCTGGAATTCCTGTCTGGTGACACCTAAGACCCAAGCGAGAGGGAGCCCGGCACCTAGACTGAGGCCGGACAGCGCGTCTCCGCCTCCGGGTTAGATCGCGCTTTCCCTGGCCACCCAGAGTCCCACGCGACAGCTCGCCCCTCGGCCGGGGGAGGGCGCCGGCGCCCCCTGCCAGCCGGGCAAAAGGATACAGTCGCGGCTCCAGAACGCCGCGGTGCCTGGGCGGGAGGGGCCCGCCACGTCCGCCATCTTGAAACAACCGCCACTCGGGGCGTTGCGCCGAGGCCGCCACGCCCCGGCCCCCAGTCTCAGTCCCCATTGGACGCACGGCGCAGAGGCCCGCCCCCGCTTGCGCGGCCGGCTGCGGCGGGGCAAGAGGGTCAGGGCGAAAGGGAGGCGGGGTCCGAGTGGTGCGGAGTGGAGCGCAGCGCCGGGCCGCGGGAACGAGCGCCGGGAGGAACTACTGTGGCCCGACCAGTTCGGGCCGCCCATCTCCTCTCCGCCGCGCCCTCAGGCGCCGAGAACTACAGCTCCCGGCATGCCGTGAACTGCATGGCCGAGGCGCCGAGGCGGGGTCCGGCCCTCCTTCGGCCCGCCCCGCTTTCCTCACCGGCCTCAGGCGCTGTCTCCGCCGCGCGCGGAGCCGGGACGCGAGCCATGGAGGAGGCGTCGCCCTCGCAGCTGAGTTGCAGCAAGCCGCACCTGGAGAAGTTGACACTGGGCATCACCCGCATCCTAGGTGAGGGGACCGAGAGCCAGGGGAAGTCGAGTCTGGGACGAGGGGGCTTGGAGAAGAAAAGAGGTGGAGAGGTGATGTGTGGGGTGGACGGCACGACGCTAGACCCTGCGTAGGAGCAGGCGTCGCTGCTCTGACATCGGTGGTTGAGGGAAAGAGAGAGACCCGGGTGCGTGACCTGCCCGGTAAGAGTTTGCGGGGAGTGTTCCCAGAAAGAGCTGGGAAGCCGGAAATTCCCCCTCTCCCCGCCCACTTCCAGGACCTGAAAGACCCGCCAAGAAGTGCAAAGGGAAGACAGTAAGCACCTGGCATTTGGGGGGCCGGGTCTCCCAAGAGGCATTCTTAGCCAAGGTGGTATCCTTGAAACCCAAGCCTTTCTCTGGTACCAGAGTGAGCTGAGGGAATGATGCAGCCAACCTCCCTAAGAAAGCATCAACCGCCAAGCTCCTCCTTGTGCTGCACCTAAAGTGTCAGAAAGGAGTCAAAGCTTGTGCCGCTGGATGGGTTACAGTTTTTCTTTAATTCAGCGTTTATTTAGTAACCACCCCTGATGGGCTAGGGATATAGCTCGGTGGTAGCACCTAGTAAGTGCAAAGTCTGGATTCAGTCACCACTAACACACACACAATAGGAACCACTACTGTTAGATGCTGGGGTTAGTGATGAAAAACTGAACAGTAGCATGAAACGAGGTCAGTAACCTATCACTGCTCAGAAGTAGCACAGAGGAGGTGATTGGCTTTGGGGGGAAATTAAAGAACATGTCCCAGAGATGATGCTGTATTTTCATTGATAAATAAGAGTTAGCCACACTACCAAGGAGGAGAAAGGCTGTCTTAAGCAGACTGAAAAGCGTGCCTCAGTGCCTTCCCATCACAATTATAATATGCTTGAAATTTCTCTGCTGTGCCCCACAAGTCCCTGTAGGATCTGCTCTCATCTGTTAGTTTTCACTACTTTGGCCACAGGGTGGCCATATTAAGGCTATGACTTTAAACACACTAAACTTGCTTCTGCTTTAAACTCTTTGCGATTTGTTTGGCCTTCCACCTGGAATTATTTTCCTCTGAATGTTTCCCTCACAACATTCAGATTTCTGATGAAATTATTATTATGCCAGAGAAGCCATCCCTGAATATAGTTGTAACAACATCCATCCTTCCTGCTCTTTCCTTAACTTACTTTAAAAAAAAATGGGCACCACATCACTAATTGAAATTATGAATGTAATAAATTTTTTAATTTGTCTTTTATAGAAGTCCAAGGTTTATCTTAGGAATGTGCAGTTTAAGATATGAAAATCAATTAATATAATTTGTTAACAGAATAAAAGAGAACCAATACAGTCATTTCAATTGATGCAGAAAAAGCACATGATAAAATCCAACACCCTTTCTTTTTTTTTTAACCCTTATTTTATTTATTTGTTTATTTTTATATGGTACTGAGGCTTAAACCCAGTGCCTTGCATGTGCTAGGCGAGCACTCTACTGCTGAGCCACAACCCCAGCACCCCCAACATCCTTTCTTGATTTTAAAAAGAAAAAAAAAAAACTAAAAATACAATGGATTAGAGATAGAACTTCTTCATGCTGATAAAGGGCATCTGTAGAAAGTCCACAGCTAGCATCATGCTGAAAGCCTGACAGCTTTCCCCCTTCAGATCAAGAACAACAACAAAAAAGTCAGAGGTCCCCAAGTCCACACCAAATTTGATGTTCCCTGGGAGTATTATAAGACAGGGAAGATTGTCATACTCAGGGATATGATTTATTACAGAAAAGGGATATAAAGCAAAATCAGCAAAGAGAAAGATAATTGTAGGGATGTCAAGTAAACCAGGTGTGAAGCCACATCGAAAGTACTTAATTTTTCCAGCAACATGTTGTTATAGTATATCTGAAATGTGTATCAGGAATGCTTACCTGAGGCTAGGAGTCCAGAACTTTTATTGAAAATCAGTCATCTAGGTACCTTTCACCTACCAAGCACCAAAATTCCAGACTCTCTAAGGAAAAACAGGTGTTCAGCATAAACCATATTGTTTGCAATAATACTTTAGATATGGCACATCATTCTTATCAGAAAATGATGAAAACCCTCCTTAGATTCAGTTTTCTAGCCAACTCAGGGCAATTTTACAAGAATTTCAGTCTTAGGCCTATTATATTTGGTCTTTTCTCAATAACAAGAATTCTCCTCTTACCCACTCGTACACATTGTATTAGAGGTTCTATTCAGGGTAAGTAGGCAGAAAAATGAAATAAAATCAGAAATAAAGAGTTCTTCACTTACAGATGATACATTCTTATATATAGAAAACCCTAAGGAATACATAAAAGTGGGGGGACCCTATTGTGTTAGCTTTTTACTGCTGTGACCAAAATACCTGATAAGAACAAAGAGGAAAAGTTTATTTGGGACTCAGTTTCTGAGGTTCAGTTCATCGTCAGCTGACTCCGTTGCTCTAGGCCTAAGGTGAAGCAGAACATCATGGCAGAAGGGTGTGACAGAACCAAGCTTCTCAGCTCATGGCAGCCAAGAAACAGACGTGCAAGAAAGGGCCAGAAACTAATATAATCCCCAAGGGCACATCCCCCAGTGACCTAATCTTCAGGCCTTGACACCCACCCAACCCCTGCTTACCACCCAGTAATCCATTCAAATTATTCATCAAATGGATTAATTTACTGATGAGATTATAGCCCTTATGATTCAATTATTGCTTAAAAGCCCCACCTGAACCTTGCTAGGGAAGAACTGGGAAATTAATTTGGTTACTATTCACAAAGCCTCTTATATCTTTGTCTGGCTTTGTGGCCAGAATTCTTAAATCATGTAAGTGACAGCTTCCTCTGACCTGTGCATATTCACCTGTCTTGGAAAGCCTCTTTTCCAAGCCCAAATTCTTTGTATCTGTCAAGGTTCTTAGTTGCAGGCCATAGAATACACTCTGGCTAGAATAAGAAACAATATGCACTTTAGCTAGTTAAGGCTAGAAAGGTATCAATTAAGGGGCAGTAACTTAAAAAAAATTGGGAGACCTGAAGCAGACTCTACAATGAGAACTTTACTGCAAATAAAGAAAAAAAAAGGTGTTAAGTAGTAATACCTGAAGTACCTGCAGTTAATGTAATAAAGAAGCTTAGTGTTTAAAAAGTTATGTTGCTGCTGATGCCATCATTGCAATACCCAACCCGATGAGATCAAAATACCTCTGAAATTATGCTTGTGAGAAGGTCTCCTCTCTGCATTTGCCCTCTACATCACCTGCTTATCCCTTTTCCAAACTTATGGGAATTTTGTTTGTCTGAGGAATCCTAAATGCAGTGGAATCTGGGAAATGCAGTTTTTAGCTGTCCAATCTCTAAAATACAGGTGTGCACACTAGGAGGAAGCAGAAGTAGGTGTTCATTGAACCAGTCTGCAGTAACTTCCACATCATCCTTCAAGGGCCAGATGAGCTGTGCATTATTTCTGACATCTTCCTTTCACTTGTTCAGTCTTCATCAACCTCCCTCTGCATTCAACTCCTGTGGTCCTTAGGGTCATTATCACCTATTTTAACACATAATTATATAATCTTGAAGTTTTCACTTTTGTTGCATATTTGTCTTGTTTAACTAGCAGTGAGTTTCTCGTTAATTCTTAATATCTGGTAGTAATTTCACCAAGTTAAGGATATAACAAATCCTTGTTAAATACTCCAGAGATTGTTGACTTGGATTGTTTTCTACTGGGAAGTATGTTACACTGTGAAGTAGTGTTGCAGGGTGACAAACCGCCCCAAAACATATCGACTTGAAACAAATTACTAACATTCCTAGTTCTTGGATTGACTGGGTTTAGCTGGGATACTTCATTTAGGGTTGCTCAAGTGTTTGCAGTTCTATGCAACTGGGATTGAAATTATCTGATGGCTTTTGAACTAACATGTCTGGTTTCCTTAGTGTTCCTCAATATGACCTGTCTCTCCAGAGAATAGATTGAATTTGAATATGATGACTCAGGATTCAAAGGAAAAGGGAAACCGCCAGTCTTCTTAAAGTTTAAGTCCAAAGTTGGCACAGCATGTCTTCACCGTATTCTATTGTTCAAAGCAGTTACATGTCAACTCCAAATTTAAGGAGGTGGAGAAACAGACTTCACCTCACAATGGAGAAAGGAAGGAAGGAATTGATAGCACTCAATGTAGGAATAAACTACCACAAAGTTTAAAAAGTGAATAATTTTATGTGTCCACTTGCATCCTTGGACACCAGACCTTTGGATATATATTGAAGAGTGGAATAACTGGGTCAAATGGTGGTACTATTCTAACCATTTGGAGGAATCTCTATACTGCTTTCCAGAGTGGTTGCACCAATTTAGAGCCCCACCAGTAGTGTATACCTTTTCCTCCACATCCTTGGATTTTATGATGCATAGAAAGCGTATAATCAGAGGTCATCACTATGCAAACACCCAGGTTGTTGGCAAAGAGTTCTATATTCTGTCCTACTGCCCATGAAGTGTTAGGTTATTAAGACTGATGAAAGCTAGATTCTGAAGTTGTATAGGATAATTTCTATAGAGCTGTGCTAAGGAACATGCAGCAACTTTTGCACGTAAACTTTTGCACTCTTCTTAACTAGACATACTTGGGAGAGACCTGGCTATGTGGCTTAAACTCTCAGCCTCAATATACTTATCTAAAATGTTAATAATAACATTTATTATTCAGTGCCCAGTGGGACCACCCTTGAAGGGATGGATACACAGACTCTTTCATCCCCACCAGTCAGGCACATGGCAAAGATTCATCCATGCCTAATGGCTTGAAGCTCAATCTTTTCCCACTATAGCACAATGCTTCCAGTGTCTTAGAATACTGAACGGGGGCAGGAATAAAGCATTCTCACTCCTACTTTCCCTACAAGGGAAATAGTAGTATTCTATTTTACTGAAGGCAAAGAGAAGTGAGGACTCATCTCAGGCCATACAATTACTAAATGAATAAAGAAAGACCAGAGAATAGGCAGAATCCAGAATTTTTAGTTGGGCTGTTACTGCATCCTATAATTTTCTGACAACTTGGAGAAAACATTGTATATATATATAATTTATTTTTCAATAAACATGACAGTAGAGTGTATTTTGACATGTTATACCTTCATGAAGTATAACGTATTCTAATTAGGAGCCAATTATTGTGATTGTACATATATGGAGTTTCCTTGGTCATGTATTCCTATAGGAACAAGGAAAGTTATGTCTATTTTGTTCTACTGTCTTTCCTATTCCCATCATTCCCCTCTGTCTAATCCACTGAATTTCTGTTCTCCCTCCCCCCTTGTTGTGTTAGCATCCACATATCAGAGAATACATTCAGCCTTTGGTTTGGGGGGATTGGCTTATTTCACTTAGCATGATAGTCTCCAAATCCATCTATTTACCAACAGAAGTCAAAGTCATTTCTTTTTATGGATTAGTAATATTTTGTGTATATATACCACATTTTCTTGATCTGTTCATCTGTTGAAGGGCACTAGGTTGGTTGTATAGCTTAGCTATTTTGACTTGAGTTGCTATAAACATTGATGTGGCTGTGTCACTATAATATACTGATTTTAAGATCTTTGGATATATACTGAAGAGTGGAATAACTGGGTCAAATGGTAGTTCTATTTCAAGTTTTTTGAGGAATCTCTATACTGCTTTCCAGAGTGGTTGCACCAATTTACAGCCCCACCAGCATTGTATACCTTTTCCTCCACATCCTTGGAGGAAACTTTTATGCTGCATAGAAAGCGTATAATCATAGAATCAGTGAACCACATAAAACTAAATTAGAAGTCTGCCATATTCCTAGAAATTTTAAAAACTAATTTCAGTTTTTAAATTCTTGTATAAAGTATTTCTAGAGCTTCAAAGTAAACAACCAATATCATTTAAAAATAGTATATTATCAAGTACAAACATGTAGCACTGAACCTACAGAAGATGGAATAGAGTATCAGGAAAATCAGAGATGACTATGAGCTGTAGTAATCTGTAGTAATGGTTTTATGGAGGAGGTGGAACTTGACTGTGGCTTTAAAATATGAGTAGGATTTGGGTAGATGAAGAGAGAAACAAACACATTTGGGTATGTGCATCAGGAAAGGGGGATAGCATATTGAGAAAGGAGTACAGGTTTCACTGTGGAGATGTTGGAGGGATAAAAGCAATGAGTGAACTAACTGACACTGTCCAAGCAGAGGATTTGAACTTGGGAAGAAAGATAAAAATCAAGCATAATAAGGCCCCTATCTTCCAGGCCAGAGGAAGAACTGAACAAAATTGGATAGGAAACAAGCCTAGGTATGGGCAAGGTTTTCTAGTGGTATGCTGGGACAGAGCAGGAAGAGATTTTGTGGCTGTGGTTTCATCAAGGCTTGCAGTGACCATGATATAAAATAGAGTGGTGACAGTAGGAATAATCTATGCAGCATCACACAGAAAAAGTGGATCATTTTCTAGGGCTGCTATACAAATGATCACACTGACATATAATAACAAAGTCATTCTCCCACAGTTCTGGAGGCCTAGAATCTAAATTATGGTGTTAGCAGGGACCATGCTCATTTTGAGACCTGTTAGGGATAGATCCTGCCTTTATCTCTTCATGAGAATTTGGCAGTTTTTGTCTTATAGCTACATCAGTCCAGTCTTCCATCATCATATCATGAGCTGGAATCTGAGGTACTATTCTTTATTCCTTACTCCAGCATAACAACACTAATTAAATCTGCAATAAGCCTATTTCCAAATAAGGTCATATTCTGAGGTACTGAGGTCAGGACTTCAACATATCTTTTTGGTGGAGAATTTAAACCATAAAACCTTTTCTTTTTCTCTTTCTTTTTTTGGGGGGGATACTGGGGATTAAACACAGAGGAATTTAATCACTGAGCTATATCCTCAGCTCTTTTTATTTTAAAACAGGGTCTTACTAAGTTACTTAGGGCCTTGCTAAGTTGCTAAGACTAACCTTGAACTTGTAATACTCCTGCTTCAGCCTCCTAAGTCACTGGGGTTACAGGCATACGCCAGTATGCCTAGCATAAACCATAAAAGCTCTTATGACAGATTTTTATGTCTTAGACTAAGGACTTCAAAATGTTAAGACTGGGAGCTGATGTTGTGGCTCAGTGGTAGAGTGATTTCCTAGCATGTGGGAGGCCCTGGCTTCGATCTTCAGCACCATATATAAATAATAAAATAAAGGTCTTGTGTTCAACTACAACCAAAAAAAAGTAATTAAGGGCTAGGATTGTGGCTCAGCAGTAGAGCGCTCGCCTAGCATGGGCGCGACCCGGGTTCAATTCTCAGTACCACATAAAAATAAAGGCATTGTGTTGTGTCCATCTACCAAAAAAAAAAAAAAAAAAAAAAGTTTCTCTCTCTCTCTCTAAAAAAAAAAAAAAAAAAATCTTAAGACTGGGTGACCATAGAACAAGTGAAGAATGTGGGAGGAGATATTGAATATGTTTTATTCCCAGATGACTTCTCTTTTATCTCAGAGTAATAAAGCACAGCTCCACAGACCATATTATTTGGAGATCTTTTCCAGCACTGAGGAAAGACATGACTTATTTTGTTCCCAGTATATTTCTAGACAAAAATACATTTCTCATAATGTTAGCTTAGCTTCTAAGCCCTGAAACTCATAGAGTAGAATATCATGTTCAGGATGAGTTTTATTTAGAAGAAAAGTTAGCAAGTTTTGCATCTTATAAAAGTTAATGAGGGACTGGGGTTGTGGCTCAGTGGCAGAGCACTTGCCTAGCATGTGTGAGGTACTAGGTTCGATTCTCAGCACCACATATCAATAAAAAAATAAAGGTCCATTGACAACTAAAAAAAATATTTAAAAAATAGTTAATGAGGTACTACTATTCCTTATTTCTTTTCACCATTTCATAAGTATGTGTGTGTGTGTATGTATGTGTGTGTATATATATATATATATATATTTAGCTCACTGAGAAGTTTGGTGTTAAATCACTAGAAAAAGATCTTTTTTCTCTTTTCAACAAGTTAAATAAGTAGTGATTGAATGTGGAGTATATTCTGTTGGTGTTCTTTCCACCCGGTAGACTGTACCATTATCTTAGGTTACAAGACTGAGTGTCCAGCCATTTCTTTACTTTTGTCACAGGGGATATAAATGCTCATTAGAGGGACCAGATGGTTCTAGGACAGCCATCAACAATCAATTTATAGTGTAGAAATGTGAGAATAGGCCAATTGCAACTTTACAGAGGTACTAAAGGCTTGTAGTGACCATGATGTTCTTTTTCTTCCTCCAGAATCTTCCCCAGGTGTGACAGAAGTGACCATCTTAGAAAAGGCACCTGCTGAACGTCATATGATTTCTTCATGGGAACAAGTAAGTGTTGTTTGTGGCATCCTCATCTCCCAACAAAGAGAAGTCAACTTACATGCCCCTGAGAAGGAAACATTAGGGCAGGAAACTTATTTCTACATCAGCCACAGTTGCCTTTCATTATGGAATGGCCACTTTCCCTGCATGAAGTATGTCTCCCCCCTTCCTACCCCCACAGCCTTGGTAAACCTTTGAAGGCAGTGGATATTGGAAATTATGTACAACTACACTGAAAATCCAACAAGGATAGGAAAAGAAACATATTACTAAGTATCAGGCCAGAATATAGTTAAATGTCCTAAATAACTACTAATCAGATCCATAGCTAGTGCTTTCCAATTTTCCTCTGGTCTTTCATTTATTCAATAAAACTTTAAAGCTCCAAAAATGATTCAGGTGTGGTGCTTGCTATTGAACCCGGGGATTCAGTGGTAATTTTTTTTAAAAGTCATTGTTCTTCCTCTTGATCTTACTAAGACACAGTATAAATTGTTACAAGCATAATTACAAAGTAGACTGAGTACTGTGAAATACAGATGAAGGGAGAATTTTCCGGACCCTGACCTTGTCTGGAGGTTGAAAAAAGGTTTTCCCAAAGCAGCTATGAGAAGTTGTTAACCAGGCAGATGGGATCTGGGAAGAAGGGGCTTTCGATATGTCCCAGAGCTTTGAGATGGAAAGGATTACATGAAACATAAAAATGGAGCACAGGAGAGCAAGATCATAAGGACCAGGACATTTAGGATTTTTGTTTTTTATCTCGAGAGCAAAGAGTAGCCAATGAAATGTTTAAAGTAAGAAACTGAGAAGGTCAGTTTTCTGCTTTGGAAAGATTTGAATAGCTGTAGAGTAGCAAATAGATCTGACTGGCTCTGGTGGCTAAGAAATAAACCTGTGATTTAATAAGTATCTGCTAACACATATCATCTAAGTTATTCTCTATGAAATGACTTATAACCCCACAAAGTAGTCATGGTATCTTCATTTTATAGATGAAGAGACTGAAGCTCAAAGAGGTTAAAGAAATTGTTTTGGGTCCCACAATTACCAAGTGACAGAGCCAGAATTCGAGCTCAGAATTGCCTTCCTCTAAACACATACCCTCTCTCCTATGCATGGCTGTCTCTCTAATAGAAGACAACACTAGGTATCTTGCCCTCAGCAGCCAGGCAGCCCTTGGCTGTGTGTTTAGTCCTGCCAGCATGATCTGCTCCCACACTGAGCCAGCAGCAGCTTTTCTGGAAGCTCAGTAACTGGTAGTTGAGGTTTTTCTCCAGGACTTCAGCTCAGCAGCACCTCAATTTTTCTCAGGGCTCTCTCAGCTCCCACCTCCATTTCAATTCACAGCTGATAATAGAAAAAGGGAATTTCATATAGTGTCTATTTGTTGAACTCCTTTTTTAAAAATTTAATTGACAAATAATTTTATGTATTTATGGGGTTTGATGTGGTATTTCAAATATTTCAATGTGTGTGTGTATATATACATGTACATTCCATATATGGAATGTACATGTATATATACATATGTATACATTATATGTATGGAAGCATGATCCAGTCAGGCTAATTAGAATTTCCCTCATCTCAGATATTTTTAGCATTTATTTGTGGTGAGAATATTTAAAATCCTTTCTTAGATTTTGAAATATACATTTTTAACTGTAGTCACTGTGCTGTGCAGTGGAACCAGAATTTGTTCATTCTAACCATTAACCAATGTTTCCTCTTTCCCCTTCCACACCCCCAACCTCAGGGAACCACCATTCTACTCTACTTCTAAGAGTTTGCCTTTTCTAGATTCCACTGTAAGTGAAATCATACCGTATTCGTTTCTCTGTAGCTGACTTATTTTACTTTATTACTAAAATGTTCATACTATCCAAAGCAATTTACAGATTAATGTAATCTCTATCAAAATTTCCATGTCATTCATCAGAAATAGAAAAAACAATCCTAAGACTCATGTCAAACCACAAAAGACCGGAGATAACCAAAGCAATCTTGACCAAAATGAATAAAACTGGAGGTATCACACTGGGATTTCAAAATATGTCACAAAGCTAGAGTAATCAAAACAACATGGTACTAGCATACAAACAGACATTGGAGCAAATGTTGAACCAGCTGATCCTGTCAGACCTGTGTGGGAGGGTGAGAGAACAAAGTGGAACACCATTAAGGCTAAGACATATTATTCCACTTACTTAATGAAGCAATTTCTAAAGGGTTTTTTTTTTTCCCCCTTGTTTCTTGTACTATATATTTCCCAGAACTCTTTAAGGAGAAGACTATCCATTTGTCCTGGCTTTACCAGTTATAATATAGTTTACTCATTTGGAGCATACCTTCCATAACTAATTCCCAGGGCTATTGTCTGCAGTGGATCTCATTGAAATATGGTCAGCCTCCTGGACAGTGCACCATTTTGGGGTTCCCTGTTCAGCTTGGAATGACATCTAGAGAATGCAGTTACAGAGCTGGGTGAATAGCCATTACAGGTCAGAAAGGAAAAAGAGATTTTTAAAGTAACTAAGATAGATAATGGCACATTCTCCTTAGACATACTCAGTAGGAGGATTTTTGTGAAAGTACCTTGAATCATAAAATACATTATTTACAATTTTCCTTTGAATCCTTTACTTAAAATAAAAGTACAAATATGCTAATTAAGGAGTACAAACCATATTAGTATCAGTAATGTAAAAATATTTTTTCACTTGTGCTTGGAGGGTCTGGGCTTTTGAAGGCCTGTGGGTTGCTTGAAAGTTAACAATCAAATGTAGAAGATAGAATTTGAAGTGTGTACCTTGGTTTTAAAATGCTGTTTTTATGTCATGATAAACAAAACATTGGTCACCATAAAAAAAAATGGAAAAAACAAAAAAAGGATTAAAACAACGAAAAGTCCTCTAGGATGTTACCACATAGACATACTAGTCAGCATATTTTGATTTTGTGTGTGGGTAGAAGTACACAATGCCAGTGGTCCCTGGAGTCTTTGAAATGTATGTCAGATGTGTTAGGTACATGCATGTTTCTGGGAAGAGAATTTCTCAGATTCTCAAAAGCATAAAAATGTTTTTAAATAAATTTTTTCAGTCAGAATGGGGCAATATACTACATACTATTTTGTACCTACTTTTGTGTATTAAGCAATAGAGAACAGAAGTTTTGAGCTGGTTGGGAGTTCCCCCTTTCTTCACTCAAAAGGTTACTGAAGAGCCTGTTTCCATAGCAGCATGCTTGGTAGAGCCACCCCTGACTTGTGCCTGCTTCCAGAAGTGCCTGTGCCAGAGAACAGCTGGATCTACTTCTCTAGTGAACTGATCTACAGACCTCCATGCTTGGAGACACCCCAACTAGGGAATAGCTTTCATATGGTATACTCAGTGTTCACAACTACATAAATAGCTAGAAAAGGTCCTCCATGAAGAGGCTTCCTGCCACTGCCCCTGCCCCTTTGGAAGCTCTCTTGGAAGCTAATTGGAAATATGACATAGCAGAAAAGTTATGGAGGCACTGTGGTGTGAGGAGAACAGCTTGGAGTAGAAGTCTAATGCCAGCTCTGGGCCCTTGACTAAGTATTATAACTTCTCTGGGTGACTTTATCATGTGTATAATAGGTGGTCTGAAAGCAGTGTTCCTGGAGGACTCATCCAGCTATAATCTAATATATTGTGACTTTGTGATACAGATCCAGGAAGAAAGATTGAAAACTAAAACCTCAATGACCAAATACCTACTGCAGATCCTAAGAAAAAGTAAATAGCCTCTTCCCATTTTAATATATTTCACACTTTCTGTCTTTGAAAAGCAGTTTCCATCTGCCTGGCTTTATGCAGTTATATATGATTCATGTTCACTGTGCCTGCTGCCTGCCTTGTGTAAATGTTGGTATTTAGTAAGACCTAATGTCTTTACTGAGCTTTTCATCTTTCAGGCACAGTGAAAGCATGTGCCTCTTAATACTCACAGCATCTTGGTGCCAGGAAAATCCTATTGTTGTTATTATTAAGCATTTCAGTGATATTGCATAGTTGCTGAGTGTTTTATGATTCTTGATGGATTAGATTCTCCAATCCCCAGATAAAAATTCGATGTACTGATGGCAAAACTATGGCTCACAGAGACCAAATGATTTGGCAGAATATCCTTTTTCTTTTCAGCCTCACTTTTTCTACAGTATATATACAGAGTGCAAGTGCATCCCTGTACCAGTTAACTATCCTCTCTTCCTCCTTCCCCCGCATCCTTTCCAGACTCTAGTAACCACTATTCTATTCTCTGCATTTTTGAGATCAACTTTTTAGTTTCCACATGTAAATGAGAACATGCGTTACTTGTCTTTATGTGCCTGACTTATTCACTTAACATAATGTCCCCACTTCTGTCCACCTTGCCTCAAGTGATGGAATTTCTCTTTGTGGCCAAATAATATTCCATTGTATATAAATACCACATGTTCTGTATCCATTCCTCTGTTGATAGACACAAAGTTGATTCTTGTGAATAGTGCTGCAGTGAACATGTAAGTACGATATCTCTTCAACATACTGATTGCAGTTCCTTTGGATATATACCTAGTTGTTGGATTGCCATATCATATGGTAGTTCTGTTTTAGTTTTTTTGAAGAACCTCCCCACAGTCTCCATAATGGCTATACTAATGTACATTCCCAGCAACAGTATATAAGAATTCTCCTTTCTCTGCATCTTTACCAGCATTTGTTGTATTTTTGTTTTGTTTTTATTGTTGAGTTCCACATGTATTCTGGAATTAATCTCTTTTTCGATGAAGAGTTTGAAAATATTTCCATTCTGTAGGTTGTCCCTTCACCCTTGTGTTTCCTTTGCTGTTACCCAGGATTTTTAGTTTGATATAATTCCATTTTCCAGTTTTTGTGATTTATCCTAGCATGTTGGTTGGATATGCTACATTGACTTTCATTCCAGGTGGGTGCTTTAATGTTGTGTCCATGTATCTTCTTAAGGAGTAATCAAAGTTAGCCATGTCTACAGATGTCTCTTTGGCCTTGGCCACAGGCATTTGGGATTGCACTGCTAGCTAGGATGCATCTCTCTATGGTGGTACATGTTCATTGGAACGTCTGGGTGCAGTGCACCTGGTTGCAGGTGCAGAAACCTGTCATTTTCCACGGGTCATGTGGAGGCAAGGCCACTCCAGTGGGTCCAGTGGGCCCAGTGGGGCAGAGTGCTAGTCTGAGGGCTGCATAGGCACTGGAGCATACTAGTGGGCTCAGACCAAGTACCTGTCAGTATCCAAGGGGCCTCACAGGTGACTTTGCAGGGCCTTGTTAGGCCAGCCTGCTCTGAGGGCTTTCCAGTTGTTTCCCAGGACCAAGGGGAAAGGGCAGGATCTCTTGTATGGTTCTCAGTACCTTTACAGGCCAAGCTTCTGGTAGCAGTTTGTTGAGCTGCTTCTTGGGGCTGCAGAAGGATGGGTAGGGCTTCCCATCAGCTTCCTGGGGTGCCTCAGTGAGCCAAGCCAGTCAGAGAAGACTGCTCAGATGCTTTCCCCTGCCCACCCCAGCTTCTAGATGGGCAGGGCTACCTGTATGCTTCCCAAGACCTCTAGGCTGAGCCATTCAAGGTGGGCTCCCCAGCTACTTTCTGGGACTAAGGATGAGTGAGTGGGGCACTTAGCTGGTTCAAAAAGCAAGGTCAGCCAGGTTTCTGGGGACATCTGCCTGGCTGCTCCACAGGACCCTGGGTAGAAAGGTTTCAAAATGTTGCTGTGCAGCAGGAGCCTAGGTAGGGGCTGGGTAAGAGCACAATGACGGGGGCTGGGCTCTTTTTCTCTAGGATAGTGCACTTGCGTGGTAAGCTAGCAACTTCCCAAACTCAGCTTCAGGCCTCTGAGGGCTACAGGCTTCTCCAAGAGCAAATGTCTCAGATGGCCATGGCATGAGTGAAGATTGCTTAGAACCTCCTGCTTATTACCCTTTCCCTGTCAAGCATAGTCCCTCATAATTTAGAGTTGGTCTAGAGAAGGAATGGTAGATGTCATGTGCTTAAAGACCATTGTATATCACTGTGCTCTGTAAGGTCTCTGCCATATCTCTGCTGTATTCTAGCACTTCACTGAAGTGTTTGAGACACTTCCTTTATTATGGAGAGAAGTGTGCCAGGCACCTCTAGCAAGCCATCTTAATTACCCATAAATCTTCTTCCTTGAATTCTAAAGCATTGCCTGTTCTGATTTTTGTCCTACCTCTCTCTTCTTTAATGTCCTCCCCACCCCCCACAGCTGCAGAACACTTACCAGATCGCAGGTAGTAAGTACTGATGTAGACAGTTGGAATTGGTTCATCAGCCCTAACAGTGATAAGCCATTATATCTGGAATTCTTTTGTCCTTTTCCTTTATGGTGGCCAGATGACTACCAAGAGCCCTGCCTATCATATCCAAGCTCAAGGCAGGAAGAAGAGGTGAGGGGTTTGTCTTCAGCCACATCCATCACCTTTTAATAGGAGAGAGAAAGTTTTCTTGAAAACCTCTTTGGACTTGTGTTTACATCTTAATGTCAAGCACTAACTGCAGAGGACGTCTTAAAAGTAAATATTTAACAAGACACATGCTATCTCAAGCAAAATGAGGGTTTTGTCAAGAAGGAAGAAAAAGGTGGATTTGTATAAGCAACCCATATGTCTGGTACAGTCTCCTCTATACATTCCTTCTTTCCTGATTCTAATGCCCAGCACAGTATTTACTCTATAAAAGACACTTAATAAATATTGGATAAATGAATGAATTAGATAAAACACAAGAGTCAGAGTCAGCCACCTGGCTGCTTTTCCACAGTCCTTCATTTCAATCCTGAGACTACTACACCCAGGAGCTTTAAAGCAAGAAAGCTATGATAGGAAGCTTTCTCCTCCAACCCCACAACTTCCACTCCTTGTAAAACTCGATGCCTGATGATTAATTAGGCCTGAAGGCATTACTGTTCTGAAGACTGTCATGATGTCCCTGGAAAATCTATACTATACCATGTGTTTTTACAGGGAAACTGATATTGCTGTAGAGAAAGGATTTGGAGCAAAGTATGCTTCCTCTCCTCTTGGTCTTAAGCAGTTTGGTTTGGTCCCAAATTCTTATATCCTACTCAACAAAATAATAGTTTCTAGTGAACCCTCCACCTTTCCTTAGGAGGGACTTTGAGAATATTTCAGAATTCTGTCATCCCTCTACAGACCAGGTTTTCCTTCCAAATGGTGGACTGTCCTCCCCAAGAAAAGTTTCATTAGATGCACTTACGCTCAGTGCTTCATGTTTCCAGTAAAATTTTAGTTCTTCTTCTTGGTGGGTTTCATGGGCAGCCCTTCATCTGGCTGTAGTTGAAAACTACTCAGCAAGGACAAGCCCTCCATAAACACTAATTTCCATCTTCTGGTCCCTTTGCTGACCTGATTCTGCATTTGTTGCCCAGCTCCCTTCCCAGATGATGTCGCCACTAAAATAGGAGAGAACTGTGGAGTGCAGGATTGTCCAGAAGTAACGAAGATAAGCAGGAGACAGTGGACAGCACTTAGCTTCAGGCTCAGGCAGCTTTCATCAGAGTTTTCTGGGATTCTAGTTGATGGCTCCCACAACTGATGAAGTAATAACAGTTTATGGTTTATTCTTTATAGTAGCTTAAGAAACTATTGCAGTTGGCCTCCTTGGAAGGAGGGGAAAATGTTGGAAATTAGCAGCTATGTGACAGAATCATCATTGGACTAGAGAGAGCAGTACCCTGTTGTGGCAGTTAGCTGTCATTCTAGATTCTGGTCAACAGGGTTATTCTCCCTTTTTCATTTTCAGATTCTCCCTCCAATCTGAAGATGCCCCTCTTCCCATTCACCTTCTGCCTATCTTCTTCCTTCCCCCTTTCATATCCTCCACATCCCTCCAAAAAGAAGGCTGATCGTAAGTCTCTATGGAGAGAAGCTCTCCGAAGTGGGCATATTGCTTTATTGGCAGTAATTTGAATTGTTGGCCAGGGCATAGGAGCCACCAAAAGCAGCAGTATCCTGAAAATCCCACTCAGAAAAGCTAAACACTGTAGGAAAGAACGGAAACACTGTAGGACCTCAGGTGCATGGGGCAGAAAGATATGCAACAGGGCCAGGTCCTACCAGCCATTATATCAGATAGTATAGACTTAATGTTTTTCATGAATTTGATTCATTTGACAATTTATAAGTTTATATAAGCATTTAAAATCTATTATTTGATTTCACTTTTTTACTATTTTATGAATTTTGAATATTTTTAAAAATTCTGGTATAAAAACACTAAAATTTCATTTTGGGGTAAAAGAAATGCTATAACAAATGTGTAAATACTACTGCTGAAATTCTTCAGCCTAACTTGAAGATGAACAATGCTAGGTAGTCTACCTGTCCTCCTCTTCTGGAATCTCATGGAAGCCCCATTAAGAATGGCTTGTAGTTAGGAGTAGTGGCACAGGTCCATAATCCCAGTGACTCAGGAAGGGAAGCAAGCAGGAGGTTCAGCCTGGACAACTTAGTGAGACCCTATTTCAATATAAAAAGTAAAAAGGACTAGAGATATATCTAAGTTTTAAAATACCCCAGGTTTCAATCCCTAGTACCACCCCCCCCCAAAAAAAAAAAAACAAAAAACTGATAGGTAGCTATTTTCTTATCTCTACCACTAGATGGTACTGGTGATCAAAATCTTCAAGTGGATGCTGATCTTCTGGAGCATAGGAGCACAAATCTTGTCAGAATAGCATTAACTGTAGGCTTCCTTTGCAAGGATCCTGGGAGTGGGAGAAAGGCATTCTGTATGTATGTTTTTTCTCTCTGCAAAGAGAGAATGTAGCCATACAGGAGGCACTCAAAGCCCCAAACTCCATATAACTTACTAAGTAGGAAATAAATTAACCTAAGCAAATCCCTTCACTTTCACATCTGTGAGATTGGGAGTTGGGTGGTAACAAGAGGGGGAAAAAAATCTGTCAGAGTCCATATTCTAGTTCTTAAAGGAAATTTAAAACTTGATTCATTAAAATGAGAGTTGTCTATTTAATAATTTTTAAAAGTACTGCTTAAAATCACCTGCAAGCTTAAAACTGTCCTCACACTTATCATTCTTGAAGATGCTATAGCTAAAATCATAATTTCTTAGTCCACTTCCTGACAAGCTTATATTCCTCACCTCCAGTGTTTTGTAGATTTAGTCTTAGTTCATAGGGTTAAAACAACATGCTCAAGGTCTCTCAAGGTCACTCAACATACATGACAAAAATCAGGAAGTGAACTCAGATTTTCCTGCTACATAATACTTCCCCATCCATTGGATGCCTAGAACTGACAGTATGATCTAAAGTGAACTTGACATACACAATGGTATCACAACTTAGAAGGATCCAATAAGATAAAAGTTTGGACAGAGTTAAAAAGGAGTTTATTTTTAAGATGTTCTTATTTGTCCAATAATTTATTTCAGAAGGTAATATAAGAGAATGGATCTGAAATTCCTGATAATGATTGCCTTGCTCGAATGTTGTCAGACTACTAAGGCCTCCTCTCTCATCACATTCCTGTGTCTCCTCAGCTTGTTGCCTTTGAGCTCCTTTTCCAGCTGGCCATTAGGGCATATTGTGGCAGAGCAGACACCTAATCTGCTTTATCTAGTGAAGTAAAACAAAGGGGAGGGGGTGATAACTCCATTTGCAGGCCCCCATACCTGTCTAATAGTTTTATAGATAATTATCAGTCTTTCTGTTTCAGAGATCTGAATATGGTGAATCATGCCCCCAGCAATTTGAGGCATTGGCCTACACCCTCCTTCCTAGCCCCGACCTCATGCTCGGTTGCTTTGTGATTCTAGAAAAATAACTGTGTGATGCCTGAGGATCTAAAGAACTTTTACCTAATGACCAATGGCTTCCATATGACATGGAGTGTGAAACTGGATGGTAAGTCATCCTCCTTGCTGTTGGGGAACATTGCCCTGGTGGAGAGGTTGGGTGGGACAGCTCTGGGCACTCACAACTTATGAGTCTTTCAATCTACACAGTTTTTCTGGGTTTTTGAGTACCACATTCAGAAGCTGTGATTTTTCTCCTAAAGCTAACAGATATCTAGTGCTTTACCTACTTCTACCCTGTTCCAGTGTCTAGCTGGTACTGGTCTCCGAGCTTAATTTAGAGGCTTCCTATAAATAGGGTTGGAATAGAATGGAAGAAAACATTAATTATTACACAAAAAACTAGAACTGCTAGCCTCACTTCAGAGCAGACTTCTCAGAGTAACCTGCAGGAAAGACCCATGGTCCCTGGGAGCAGGTGTCCCTCTCTTTCAGACTCTTCCTTTATTCATACCATTGTGAAGACTTCAGTGCTCTAACCCTCAAATCAGAACCTTACCTTCTCTTCCTGTACCACCTCAGCCTCAGTCACCATCTGCCTCAGTTTGTAGGATGTCATCTTGCTTTAAATGTGTCTAGACTAACACATTTGCATAATGGGTGTAGGGACTCTCAACTTCATACATGTCAGAGCTTGCAGCTACTGCACATTTAGATGAGGACTTAAAGAAGTTCATAAGCTAGGAAATTCTGATTTAGCTGCCGGAGTCCAGCCCATTCCTGACACAGACTTGCCAGTCCTCATCCCTGTTAGCTTTTATTGCCTCCCACTCCAGCAACATCCCCATCCCCATATTTGCTTAGATCTTAGGAAGTACCCTAAACCTCCCCATTGCTGACCCAAAGGAGGAGAGACTTCTGCTTCACAGAATTGACTTTTCTTTCCTGCCTCCACCTCCTGCCCACATATCTGAATTACCTTTTTTTGGTGACTCCTGAAGCCTTTATGACTGTCTCCCATAGCTGACCAGAGAAACAGAATTCTAATAGCTTACTAGTGAACATTTAACTTTAGTTTTTACTTCAAATTGTTTTTTCAATGGCCTAAAAGTTATCTGTCACCAGCAGTACGTTCCCTTATACCATGGCTATGGCCTTTGGGATCTGGAGCAATAGACAGGGGACAGAGACTAGATTGACTGACAGACACTCCCTGCCCACATTATGAGGGCAGGTTAGTTCCCTCACAAGCCTGCCTCAGAGAAGAGATATTACATGACTATTTTATAAATGAGTCTCTGGTCATATTGCAATATTTTCTGTAACTTGATCTTCCTAGTCCTGGTCTTTTTATCATGATTACTGTACCCATTCTTTACTGAATAGCTTACATTGTTAACAGAAAAGACGGTAAAGGCAGCTTCTCTTCTCCTCAAACAGTCCATGGTCTATACCAGCTGTTTTATTGCTTTCAAGCATTCCAGTTTTTCTAGAAGTCAGATTTGTAAGTCTGTGTGCCACCTTGTGTCTAGGATTCTATACAATAGATAAGGAAAATATGCAGTCTTCCTGTTCCTTATTTATACCCTAATCACAGAAGGCTAGAACCAAGTGAGAAGGGCTGCCACTTCTCTCCATTGAGTAAGGGAAAATGATGAGAGATATTTTCCATCATGAAAATATCTTATAATAAGAGAAAAGCTTATAATAAGAGAAAAGTCCACTATATAATCAAAAGCTGTTTCTCCTTTGTAAAGTATAATTGTTTATGCAGCATATTGGTTAAACTAGGGCAAGAGAGAGTGGAAATATTTTTTAAGTCATTTACTCTTCAAATGAGGTTCCTAAGTTCATATTTTCTAGCTCTTCTTGAGTATCCCTTTCTAAACTTTTTCTGTAGCCATACCCTAATGTAGTAGGGACTGTTCATTGCCTGTGGCCCCTGATTCCATGTTTTGTTTTGTTTTGCATGAAAGGCCGGTGCTTAGGGCCATGTGGTGACTGATCCTCTTCTTCCTACCTTTCATCAAATGCCTCAGTCATGTGACCAACAATAGCTGGGCTTATGATGACCATTGTAACTAGGCTGTCAACTTTTTGTCATTCTTTTTAATGTCTCCATAGAGCACATCATTCCATTGGGCAGCATGACAATTAACAGCATCTCAAAACTGACTCAGCTCAACCAGTCTTCCATGTATTCACTTCCTAATGCACCAACTCTGGCAGACCTGGAGGATGATACATACGAAGGTATCTGGAGGAAATTCTGCTTTGGGTTAGAAATGAACCTGCTTGCTTCCCTTTTATAATATTGAGGACCATGGGAAGAGGTTGTGGCACTGTATTATATTCCACTAAACTAAAACCCTTCCCACTCATAGCTCCTTAGAACCATGGGAATAAGGTTAAAACAGCAGCAGCAGCAACAGCCTATACCAACAAAGGAAATTTTAATGAAGCAAATCAAGGTTGGCATCTTTGTTTTATTTCCTCATGGTTCAGTACCAAGTACACAGTAAGCACTTAATGAGTACATGCTGAGTGAGTGAATAAATGTTATAAATTAAGCTTCACCTAGTACTTAAGTATCAGGGGGTTTCAGGGAATATGACAGTCTAAATACAGCCCCTTTCCTCTCCATTCCTACCTTTAAAGCTCTTTTTTACTTCTAAGTGTAATGGCTCATAGGGTTATTAGCTGTTAAAGCCTCAAGTTAGGGCTTCTTCTATCAGAATTATTTAGCTGCTTATAACAGATACCCAGTTACAGTAACTAAACTAAATAGTGGTTAATTTCTCTCATGAAATCTGGAACTAGGTTAAAGTTGCTGCTTGAGAATGTGAAAGTTTCCCTCTCACTTCCTGCAGCACCAGCCTTTGGTATGGTTTTCATCCTCATGGTTGAGTATTGTGGGCTCTACCTCCCAGTTCAAGTCTGTGTTTCTGACAGGAAGAGGAAGGGTAAAAAAAAACAAAGAACAATGGCAAAAAAAAAAGCCCTTGGCAAATCTCTCCTCACTTTATCTGGAAAACAGTTTTTCTCAAAAGTCTCTCCCAATAGCCATTGGTCAGAACAGAGTCAAAAAGCCACCCATAGTCTGACAACTAGACCTGAAGAAGTCTTGGGAGATATTTTTATTTGTGCAATATTACCTCCTCAAGCAGAATTGGGGTTTACGAAAGAAAAGAAGAATGGATAGTGAGTAGACAGCTAGCGTCTAGGTCTTGGGGGTTTATTTAAGCTCTGGCAGAGGGAACTGATGTAAGGCTTTCTCCCTCCACTGGACAAACAAATGGAGAACAGTGCGACAGGAGTCCAGAGACAAAAATTGGAAAGTGATGAGTCCAAGAAAAAGCCTGTCACTCAAAACTATGGAATCCCCAGCAGTAAGAAAAGTTCACATTGGTTTAATAAGTGTATGATAGGGTTTCTCTAAAAGGCAAAGAAGTAGTTACACAGACTAGGTCTTTCCTGCCCATGAGTCTGGAAGAAAAGGAGTACTCTGTAGAGGGGCCTCAAGATAAGTACTGAGCCAGGGGTAGGGACCATATTGCTCCTATATACTTACAGGTATAAAGACCACTTGGCCTTCTGGCACCTGCTGGGCTCATGCTTTCTGCAATAGTCTAACAACTAGATCTAAGTCTCATTAAAATGTAAACAGAAAAATACTGACTTTTCTCAGGGTACTCAGCAGACAATCAGAAGACATCAGAAGAAATGTTAGAATATACAACCAGAGAACTAAAACTGCTAGAGCACACAGATGAAAATCTAAACAAAAATAAGCACAAGAACATTTGAAATTTTTAAGACAGCCCAGAGACATCCTGTAGATAAAAAAATTACAAAGATTTTCAAACAATTGACTAAATGAAATGACGAAAATACAAATATTATTGACACCTGAGTTAGACAGAAAAATTATGTGCGATGAATATTATAGAACATAGGTAAGTAAATTTTAGAGAAGTGAATTTTAAGAAAAAAAAGTAGGAGAGTATGAGAAGTAGAAAATAAATCCAGACACCTTTCATTGCAATTATAGGTGCCAAAGAAAGAAGACATGGAAAGGCAATAAATAAATACTAACAAAAGAAAATTTCTCTGCAGATTGGAAAAACTCAACCTAATCCTAAATCAGAACAATAAAAAGCCCCAAACATCTAAGCATATCCTGATAAGGAAAAAATGACAAGCTTTTAGTCAAAAAGAATAAATTGTGGGCTGGAGTTATAGCTCAGCAGTAGAGAGCTTGCCTCACACATGTGAGGCACTGGATTTGATCCTCAGCACCAGATAAAAATAAATAAAATATTGTGTTCATCTTTTAAAAATAAAAAAAAGAAGAAGAAATTGTACAGGAGTAGTAATCAGACATCAGTGGAAATATCAGTGGGAATTAGAAGATGGTGAAAAAACATTTCTAGGTTACCAAGAGAAAAAGGAGTGAAAATCAAGAGTCCTATGTTCACAGACTAAATATACCTCTGGTTATAAGAAGGAAGTTGTAAGGGCTCAAAATGTGTTACATAAGAACTCTTGAGTATAGTGCAAAGAATATTCTAAAAAGTGCTATCCCATTTCAGTTTAATTCAAATGTGAGGAGAGAGGATAGTTAAAGTATTCTAGGTTAAATCCTATTCTGCCCCCTTTCCCCACCCCCCAAAAAGGATATATTTAAGTCCTAAATCTCAGTACCTTAGAATATGACCTTATTTCCAAATTGCAGACTTAATTAAAAGATGTGATCATACTGGAATAGGGTGAGCTTTATAAAAAGAAAATTTGGACACAAGCATATATTGGATGAATGCCATTTGAAGATGATGGCAGAGGTAGGGGCAATTCCTCTACAAGAAGTCCAAAAATTTCCAGTAAACAGCCAAAGGCTAGGAGAGAGGTATGGAAGAGATTCTTCTCCACAGTCCTCAGAGGAATATTCTTTGGACACTTTGATTTCAGACCATAAATTTCTGTTAAGCCACTTAGGGCTATTGTAACAAAGTACCAAAATGTCAAATTAAAACAGTGGTTTCAGTGGTCCTCATAATGGATAACTGAGAGAAAAGGGAAGGGGTAACAAATGAAAGATCTTATTTTACTTTAGGAAAGAAGTACAACAACAACTTGCTGGAGAAAACAGCTTTGGTGTGCCAGTTTTCTATTCCTGTATAACGGATTGCTACAAATCTAATAGCTTAAAACTACACAAATTTATTATCAGTTTTATTTATTTATTAGAAGTTTCTATGAATCAAGAATAAAACTGCAGGTCAGCTGGGTCCTCTTAAGGAGCTGACAGCTGGCCAAGCAGAGAATGCAGCTATCTGAAGCTGAACCCTAGTGACTGAAATAATGTTGGCTGAGACTGATCTCATTGGAGGCACTGGGGTCTCTTCCAGGCTCACTGTGGTTGATTGCTTTTAGTTTCTTGCAATGTGGGACTTAAGTTCCTATTTTAATCCTGACTTTCAGCCAGGGTTCACTCCAAGCAAGTTAAGGCTGCCCTCAGATATAAGCCATATGTCCCTTTCCACATCATGGCAGCTTTTAAGCCAGCAGGAAAATTTCTTCCCAGTGTGCTGTGAACTTTCTTAATGTAGCCCAATCCAGGGAATGACTGCCCATCATATCCACAGGTCCTAAACCACCCTCAGAGGAAAGGATTATGTGAGATGTATATACCAGGAGGCAGTAATCTTGGGGATCATCTTAGAATTTTGTATATCCCATTTGGTTAGAGAAATGATGGTATATTGTTTTCAAATAAAGATAGTCATGGATCTAATTATCAAAAAACAAAGGTAATCAGGTCTCAACCTAAAATACAGACAGATGGCTCTTGGAAAAATCACATTTATTTGGGAATGAGTAATGGGGAATTCCAATGTAGGATGCAGAGGCTGTGAAAAGCCGTAAGTGCGCCCAGAGGGGCTGAGGTAAGGGCAGGCTTTTAAAGACCCAAAGGAGAAGTTTACCTGAAATAAGGTTCTTTGGTATCCGGTCATTATAGCAGTTGGTATTAGCCCATTGGTGGAGACAGCCATTGCTAGGCAGTTGTCTTATCTGAATTTCAGCAGTCTTGAATATTTTCTTGAAATAAACCTTGATAATAGAAAATAAGTGTACAGAGAGCAAAGTATATGAGTTTGAGCTGCATCTAGGATGTGAAGGAATTCCTGATGGGCTTTAGGAAGTCCTTGTGATAGTTCTATTTCTGACACACAAGCATGAGTGAGGCCCACACTCTTTCAAGACCTGCTGGCTCTATTTTGTCTGGGGTAGATAAGAATAAACTCATCATCTCAGTATTTTGAGACAGGATCTTGCTAAGTTGGCCATGTTGGCCTCAAACATGTCATCCTCCTAATGTGATTATAGAGTTGTGCCACTACGTCCCACTAAAATTTCCAGTCTAATAAGGGAAATGTTGAATGACAGGAGTTTAAAAAAGAAGAAGAAGAAAAGAAAAGGAAGTGACTTAATAATTAAGATATATAACATTAAGATGAGAGGAATAAATCAATCATTACATAAATTTTATGGGATTGAATCTTTTTTGAAAGATAGAGACTACTAAATTGATTAAAAAAAAAAAAAAAAGCAAAAGCAAAACTTACCTGTATATTATCTTCCAGAAACATTTTTAAACTGATGAAGAGACTTCCTTTTCTGGTAATGGCAGATTATTCAGAGCAGCCTTCCTGCTGAAGACTTAAAAGCAGGAAAAATTTAACAATTGTTTTCCTAAAAGCATGAAAGAGCTAACAATATGCTAAGGTATGGTATCAGATCAACATCCAGAAGAACACAGAAATCCAGGGGAGATGATTGTGGAGTTGCTTTTGTCTAAGGTACACTGTCCTCTTCAAAGGAGGAAGAAAGGCTGCTGAAAAGCTGGGAATTTGACTCATTTATGAGCAAGGGGAATAAAATGGATTCTAGGGCCCGGAAAAGATGGGACCATGCTCTTTGTAAAGGAGTAGTGAAAACCTGAACCCTAGGAGCAAGGATGAACCAGAAGTAACTGTTGGTCACATGGACTGAAGCTCGGTGTGAGTCATTTATGTGATCCAGAAAGTGTTAAATCCCAAAACTGAGTATAGTTAATCCTAGGTTATTAATCTCAGAGAATGGCAGATGCAAATAAAAATTCACTCTAGAGAAATGCCCCAAAATTGTAATAATGGTAATGATTGCACAACTTTGTAAATATACTAAAAGACCACTGAACTGTACAATTTAAATGAGTGAATGCTAAAATAGGTGAAATATATCGCAAAAAAAAAAACTTTTTAATTTTTTTTATTTTTTAGTTGTAGATAGACACAATACTTTTATTTATTTATTTTTATGTGGTGCTGAGGATCGAACCCAGGGCCTTACACATGCGAGACAAGCGCTCTACCACTGAGCCATAACCCCAGCCCCAAAAAACCCTTTTATATAAAGGGAAAAATCCACCCTAGAGGGAGTAACATTATCCTAGGCCTCAAATTGTTTTTGTAAATAACTTTTCAAAAAAATAGTTTCTACTAAAAATATAACTAGATACAAAACCCTGCTACAAGAACCATTACAAATTACAGGTTCCATTAAGAGATCCACCAGTATTCCCAGGTATAGACCACACAACAAGATGCTAATGCATACATGGAGTTAAAACCAAACTAAAATTTAGGGGAGGAACTGAAACAGTGGTACTGCAGATTTGAGGTGGAGGGTGGGGATTCAAATGGTGACCTTATGCTCTAAGGTAATGGCAGATAATACTCTACAATCCAGAAGAACATTTAAAACAATTACCTGAAAGGTCTGGAGAATAGCCAAAATCAGGTAAAGACTGGAGTGTAAAACTACACTTAGCAGAAGGGAACCTCACTGCAGGAATTTGCTCTTTTTACAGCTTTTCACCTAAGGGCAGACTACCCCACCCCCACCCCCTGCCCCAACTTTTAGCATCATGCAGGGCTGCTAAAATTTTGGTGGAATCACCAGTCTAGACTTTTAATTTCATCCAAGCAGGAGTAACAGAGGCCAAATTTCTCTTTCCACCTGGCACAACAGTTAAAGGAAGGCCTAGACAAAATATACAAAGTGTTTTTTAGGACATTGCCATTAGGCAACAAAGAACAGTGAGCTGTGAGCAATGGGAAACAATCATGGTGAGCCGTATAATTTCCCAAGTTTACTTCCTTGAGAGTTCCCAGTCCACAGGATAGAAAGAAGAACCCAGGCAGGGACCATTGTTCTCCCCAAGTTGAGATGACAAAGTTGTGAGCCCAGATAGATTAAGGCAGCTAGAGTTCATAGGACTGAGTAACAGAGAGCCGATTAAAGAGAGAATTCCAGAATTCTATGAGGGGTTCCCTTGAGTTTTCAGCAAAGAACTGATAGACACATGTGATGAAGAAACTGCCCAAGGCCAATGACAAAAACCGATGAAAATAATTAGAGGGAACAATGTCTAGTCCTCATAAAGGACCAAGAAGACTAAGCAAGCTGAAATGCCTCATGATTCACAAAGCATTAAAGTACATGGAAGAGCTTGCCTTAGAAAGGGGAATAATTAGCTATAGATAAACACTACATTGATCCTGCCTGTCAAATCTAAGAGCAAAGCCCAAAGTATCTGTTTCCAAGTAACTATGTCTAAGAATAAATCTCGAGATTATTTATGGAAATATAAAAATCATTAGCACCCCACAATGTAAAATTAACACTTTTTGTCTCCTAATCAAAGATGATCAGGCATGCCAAAAAAAAAAAAAAAATACAACTATAATAAGGAGGAAAGTGGGTTAATCAAAACCAACCCTAAATTGACACACATTTTAGAATTAGCATGTATAGATATTAAAAGTTACAACTTTATTCTGTATGTCTTTGAAAGTACAGATTAGAAACTGTGTATTCCAAGTTTAGCTTTTGGAGTTTAGGGTCTGAGATGAAAAATATATTGGACGAAATTAGCGGTGGCAAAAAGAAAAGATTGCAGAAGAATGGAGAACCCAGCAATAGGGACTATCCAAAGTAACAGAAAGGAAAAAAAGTTGTAAAAAGAGCATCCATGCACTGGGGAATAACAAATGGTATAGTATATGTGTGATTAGAGTCTGTGAAAGAAGGGGTTGGGGTCAGAAAATAATAATACTTGAAGATGTAATGACCCAAAGATTTGCCAATTTGATGGAATTATAAACTGATATATTCACTGAGCTCATTAGACCAGGAAAAAGAAACATGAAGTGATACCAAAAAACATCATAATTAAATTGCTCAAAATGAGGATGTATTAGTTTTTTGTTGCTGTGAATAAATTACTTGCTGAGAACAACTGAGAGGAGGAAAAGTTTATTTTGGCTCATGGTTTCATAGCTTCGGTCCATGGTTGGCATACTCCATTGCTCTGGGCCTGAAATGAAGTCGTAACATGGTGGCAGAAGAAAACGGCTCTTCTGGCAGCCAGGAAGCAGAGAGAGGAGCCAGGGACAAGATACAGTCCTCAAGGGCACATCCCTAGTGACCTACTTCCTCCAGCATCACCTCGCCTAGCTATAGTTAACAGCCAGTAGTCCGTTCACATTATTAATTCATCAAATGGATTAATCAATTGATGAGGTTACAGCTCTCATCGTTTGGTCATTTCCTAAAAGCCTTTATGAACCTTGCTACATTGGGGACCAGGCATTCAACATGAACTAGGGGAGATTCCAGAGCCAAACCATAACAAGGAATAAAAAATAAAATCTTAAAAGCAACCAGAAGAAAAAGCCAGATTACATACAAGGAGCAAAGGATATATGTCTACTTAGAAATAATTCAAGTGAGATAAAATACTCAAGAAAAAAATGTTAAAACTAGAATTCTGTACCTATTGCAAATGTCTTTCAAAAGCAAGGACCGTTTATGAAAAACAATCTGACGATGTCCATTCTATTACAAGAAACCTACTTTGCATAAGGAAAACACCAGAACATGTGCAGTCATAATTATTTTAGAATTCATAGCAGATTGATGATAAGGTGAGTTCCTATCAATAGGAGAAATAGACTCCCACAAACCATCAAGCAGCCACTAAAAGAATGAATCAGTTACTTAAAGGGTTTTCCATATGGTATTATTGTATAAAAAGCAAGATTCAGATAATGTGTATGATATCCTATTTTTACATAATAAACAGTCCCTGAAAAAAGAATAGAACAATGTCAACGTCAGGTCTTTCAATTTGTTCTGACTTTATGTGGTACCACTCCCAAGAAACTCAGGTCCTCCTGTTACCTTCCCCCAAATTCTCTGACAAAGTCTATGGGTAATGGGACAGCCCAGACAGAAGGCCTAATCCATCAATGAGATCAGGAATTTATGGAATTTTTTGGAAAATACTACTTAATAGTATGTTTGAGATGAGTTTGTTTGTTTGCAGCAAGTGAGGACCAGCCAGAGAAACCTCACTTTGACTCTCGCAATGTGATATTTGAGCTGGATTCATGCAGTGGGAATGGGAAGGTTTGCCTTGTTTACAAAAGTGGGAAGCCAGGTAAGAATCACAATGGGATGCTGTAGTCTTCTAGTCTGGGTGTGATCTTGCCTGACTACTTGTCAGCCATCACACAAAAGGCACATACCTCCCTGGCTTCTTGAAGTGCTTCTAGATTTTCTGTGTGGCAAGACTTAGAAAGCCCCTTTGGCCCTCTCTAGCACCCCCTGTAGGCTAATTTTTAGTCTTCTTTAGCCATCTTCATATGTGAATTACTACAAAACAGTCAACAGATAATAGGTGAGATAAACTAAAAGAAATAGCCCTTCTGTTTATAGACCCTTCACTGCAAGCTCATACATTTAGTAAACATACGGGAAACACATTATCTTTTTTTCATACTTCTGTATCTAGGCCAGTTAATAATAATAAAACCTGATTTATTAGACCTCAAAATTCCAGATGGGAAATCATGAGAAAGGGGGGCCAGTGGTGGATAGTGAGGCTCTGTGCCCTTGAGCATAACTGCTACCCCCACCCAAAGGCAGTTGAGACCTTGAGACTGAAACTACAGAACTGGACAAGGGCAAGCCATCTTCAGTAGATGGGGGGAGAATGTACAGACATCAGGATTTACCTCTGGGGGAAGGAGAGATTATCTCCAACTTGAAGAATCTTTGCAAACAGATTTTGAGCTGCATCTTGAACTATAGTTGGAATTAGATACTGCAGGGAGTGGCAAAAACAATGTCATGGAATTGTTATTCCAAGTTGGTGCTCTACATGAACCATCTAGGGGATGTAGAGATGAAACCTGAAGGCAAACTGCTGTCTCTCATGCAGAGCTTGGAAAGCCAAGCAAAGAAATTGAGAAATAACGTTGAAGACAGTGGTCTATCATTCTGGATTACTTAGACTGGAGAGATTCAAATGAAAATGTTTTATGACCATAAGCAGTTTTGAAAAAGAAAGAGACCAGATAATGTGGGCCTCTTAGAGAGATGTTATAGCTGTATAAACAACAGATGAACCAGTGAGCTAATAAGATTGAAAGGTCAGAAACAGGTGTAAGGCAGGAGCTGGTATGATAATGCCTCTGTCACCCAGAACATCAGAGACTCTATTATAGTAGTTTTTCACAGCATTTCTGGCTCCCAAGAAAGACCTCCAAAAAAGCCTGAGCCACTCATTTGCCTCCATCAGGAAAGTTGAGACCACAGTGTGTGCCCAGCAGATAGAAAGAGGCTGATCAAGAATCTGTAAAAACGGCCACTGGAGAATGTGACTAGGAGGTTGGAAAAGGAGAAAACGGAATTTTTACCTTATTTTATATCCTTTACTATTGAATATTTTAAAATCGTGAGTATATATTGACTAATTTATGGTTACAAGGAAATAAGTGTTTACTTACTTCCTTTGTCTACTATTTTAGCATCAGCCCAAGACACTGAGATCTGGTTTCTGGACAGAGCATTATACTGGCATTTTCTCACAGATACCTTTACTGCCTATTATCGCCTGCTTATCACCCACCTGGGCCTGCCCCAGTGGCAGTATGCCTTCACGAGTTATGGTATTAGCCCACAAGCCAAGGTAAGGACTGGGAGGGGGAACACCTGTCATCTCAGAGTATGATGTGTATCAGAAACTTCTGAGGAAATGATTATATTGCAGATTCTCAACTTCCCCATTTAAGTGGTCTGGGGTAGAACCCAGGAAACGTGTTTTTAAAGCAAGGCGTCTGATTACAGTGTTAAGTAGACAGTGTCACATAATATTGATCTAGTCAAGTGACTCCCAACATAGCTGACCCTCAGAATTACCTGGGATGTTTCCATCTTTGATTGTTACTAGGGGCTTACATCTAATTGATTGTTTTGGATTGGCAAATATATGTACTCAAAAGAGTGCAAAGTAAATCTCTTTTTCCTATTCTCCCAGTGTACTTCTACAGAGGCAGCCATGGATACCAGTTTATGTACGGTTCCAGAGATACGCATTGCATATAACACATGCAAGCATATGATTTTTGGTTCCTTTTTGCTAAATCACAAGTATAATGTACTATTCACATTGTTCTTTTCACTAAACAGTCCATCATCAGTTGAGGTAGAGCTGCCTTGTCCTAATGACTATTGAGTGTTCCGTCAAATGGATTGACTCATTTATACTACACATTTGGGCACCATTTCAAACATACAGATGACAAGTAATACTGATACAATCCCTGGTTTGAAAACACCCAGTGTGGCAAGAAGAACTTTTGACTAGAATGAGCTGGTCTGGGCTCCTTGATGGTAGTTTCTCACAGCACTAAATTAGCAGGAAATTAGGGACTCATCTCTGGCACTATATTACTATGTTTATTGAGAAAGCTTCATTTTCCTCAAATATCCCATACTGACACCTTCCGTCAGGTAAACATTGTGAGTTGGTTGTGATCAAAGAAAAGTCAATAAATGAGAATGCCCTTTGCCCTGAGCAGCTTAGAAAGCCAGTAAGGAAGAGAGCACTAACACATCTTCCATCAGGAAGGCTGCACCAGCCTCTTGTCATACTTCCCCTGGGGGAATGGTGCTGGTGGGGAATGCTACTTCAAGGGCAGGTGGAAGGACACTGGTCCCTAGATCAAGAAGAAAACAGCATACTCAAGGTCTTAGTTTTCATACTACATTTATTTAGAGGTTATTAGGGATGCCTCATAAAGCAGCATTGTGTCTGGCCAAGTTTTCACTTTGCATAAATAAAGATCTAATAGATTATTCAAGGCAGTTTTTCATATCTTATCTGAAATGCTTGGGACCAGACATGTGCTCAATTTGGCATTTTTTTGGATTTAGATTTGTGCATGAATTTTACCAATTGATACGAGTTTCAGATTTTGTACTCTTGTGTCCTCAGCTTTCAAACCCTATGCCCCCACTAAAGAGCACAAAGAATAGCATTGTTCCTTTGGATTGTGACCCTCTCTCCCAATTCTGCCTTCTAGCAATGGTTCAGCATGTATAAACCTATCACCTACAACACAGATCTGCTCACGGAAGAGACCGACTCCTTTGTGAACAAGTTGGATCCTAGCAAAGTGTTTAAGAGCAAGAACAAGCCCTTAATTCCAAAAAAGAAAGCGGCTGTGCAGCCTGCAGGTGGCCAGAAAGGGCCCTCGGGTCCTACTACCTCTAAACCCTCCTCTGGACCTGGAAACCCTGTCCGGAAGTGAGCACCCCCACTATCGGCTCTCCACCAGCCCCACAGCAGTGATTTCCATGCACTCATGGCCCCAACCTCAGATTTTGCATGTAACTATAGGCATCTTCCCAAGTAACCAAAATTTCAGCCATTTTATCCACCCCCTGCCCTCCAACATTAGCCAGGGGTTGGAAGGGCATCCTGAGTTTTTATCCCCAAGAGTTCTTCACAGTGGGTTTTTCGAGTTCCTGCCTCCAAAAGCTGTGAATTTAAGTTCTTTAAGGGACCAGAGAGGTCTACTGAGCTTTCCTTTCTATCAGTACCCAACCCTCAATCTCTTAGCTAGAAAAGTCCTCCAAAAAACCCCTGGTTTTGACCCTTGAAGCATTAGAACTGCACTGTTCAAACAGTAGCAACTAGTCACATGTGGCATAAAAACTTAAATTATATGAAAAATTCATAACCTCAGTAGCATTAGTCACATTTCAAGTATTCACATGGCTACTAGACTAAATATTGGACAGTAGAAAGATATGGAACATATTCTTTGCAGAAAGTTGTTTTATATATAATTGTTTTAAGTTGTCAGTGGATCTTTATTTATTTATATGTGGTGCCGAGGATCGAACCTAGGGCCTCACACATGCCAGGCAAGTGCTCTACCACTGAGCCACAACTCCAGCCCTGCAGAAAGTTGTTTTGGACAGCACTACAGTAGAATATTTTCATACTCAGATTAGTTAATTTCTTTTGTTGATGATACCCAAACTTAATGGGTTGCAGTGTTTCATAAAAACTTTAGAAGATTCAATTGTATGTTCTTAATGAATACATTTCACTCTGTTCATTTTCCTTTAGTTTCTTAAAGTTTGCTTTCTATTTTGTGATGTTTACACATTTGCCAAAAATTTGAGATGTATTTCTGTACTTTAGTCTAACCCTTTAAAAGTAAAAACACCCAGGCATCATGTTGGAAAACTCTTCATAGAGTTTTAATGAAACTTGTTAATATTAACAGCAGCTTTCTACCTGCTGTGACTTGTCTAGTCCCACCCTGGTTTGTCATTGGCCATACTTAGGATGGGAAAGCCTTTATAATATGATGGAATTCCAAGATTCCTTTGCAAGTTTCCTGTAATTCAGAAATCATTTTCCCCATAGACACGTAGGGGTATTAGACCTCTAGCCAGCCCACATGTGCCTAATATTTGACACAAGATAAACCTGAATTTACCTACTATGTACATCTAATGGAATTTCTACAGAGTTGTTCAGGCTTTCAATTCTAATGTATGAAATATGATATGTGAAGAGCTTTATAATGTTTTGAACAACCAATAAAAAAAAATTAAAAAAAAAAAAAAAAAAGGAAAAAGAAAAAGAAAAAAAAAAAAAAAAAGAATGTTTTCTAACTTTGCAGCCCTGACAGTGTGCACAAGCAAACCTTCACTCCACTTCTCAGCAGGGAAATCCTATCACCCACCCAGCCTCAGGATCCTTGAGTGACTGTAGTTTTTTCCCTGAAATTCCAAAGGTTGGAAAATGTCATTGCTGAATAGTGAGAGGCAGGACCTTCTACATCTGTACACTTCAGTCCTGACTGGCTCACTCATTCTTTCCTGACTTTTCTTCCATGATTGCCTAGACTCTCTTCTTTGCAGACCTCAATCTGCTAATCAGTCCAGGGCTTTGCTCTTCCATGGCCCACCAGGGAGCTTAAAGAAGTCCCCACAATTGCTCACCTGCACTTCTGACACCACTTTGAGTATTTATGAAGTTTTAAATTTTTGTTTTGATTGCTGATTATAGTGATAGATATGAAAAAGAGGCTTTCAATCCCCCTCCATCTACTACTTCACACAGCCCCTGAGGAAAACAAGGTAAAGAGTTGGCCTTCAAGGATCATGGGTGCTTCACCACTGTTGTAATGGTTCTAAGTCTTGAAATACTAGTGTTCAAAAGTCTTTGGGAGAGCTAGAGACATGACTCAGTGGTAGAGCACTTTCACAGCATGCACAAGGCCCTAGGCTCCATCCCCAACACCGCCCCCCCAAAAGAAAATACACATTAACAGCATATTCAGTTGCTTTAAATATGCCAGCATGACAGCTATTCTGGCTAACTTCTAATGGAAAATGTTTAAAATAACAGCACCTCTGGCCTTTGCAGTTCCATAGCTAACCATTTATATAATTCAGCGTGGACATTCAAATGTTTTTGTGTTTTTTTAACAAGTACATGACATGCCTGTGTCAAATTTTCCCTAATTTAAGTGTTTTACCCCTTTTAAATTAATTGTTTAGGTTATTACATTTTGAGCATTTATAAATGTGCAGCAATTCAAGGGAGGTCCAATTGCACCAGTCCAGCATTTGACTGCTTCTTCAAGACAAGGTTAGAAAGAAAATGAGAAGGCATGTCATTCTTCATTGCCACAGATGTCCTTCCTATAGTACCCAAGGAGCCCATTGGAGGACCAGTTCAGTTTTGGTCCAGTTCTAGATTCCATAAGTGAAACAACAGAAGAACCAGGAGAGCAATAGTGCCCTTCAAACCAGTGGCAATCAATGGGAGTCTTCCAAAGACTGTAGAAGGAAGGCAGTTAGGATAAAGAAAAGCTCAAGACCTGCCTCAGAAGGAAGAGTGATGAAAAAGCAGAGCTGGTTACATCATATGCAGGACTCAGTACAAAATGAAGATGTGAACCTCTTGTTCAAAAATCAGAAAAAACTACCATTAAAGGCCCTAAAATGTGCTTTTCCTTTCTTCCATGGTTTCCTACAACTTGTTATGGTGATGTTTTCTGTTTGCTCCTTAATACTGTTATAAGGAAAATTAAAATTTTTAAATTAGTATGCATTTTACCATTCTTTTTTATATTGTGCATTTTAATTGCAAATATAAAAGCATTTACCCATGTAGAATCACCAAATTTACACAATTTCCTTTTCCCAAACTTGTGTGTGTGTGTGTGTGTGTATATATATATATATATATATATATATATATATATATACACTATGTGCATATGTATTTTAATCTTACTAGAACAGTAGAAAAATCACACAAAACTCAATCAGTGTTTCCCTTCTTGATATGTGCACGTTTTAACACACTCTACCTCTAGCTTACTGATGAATACAGGACTTAAAAAAGGAAGTATGGACTGCTTTATGTTTTCCTTTTCTTCTTTATTATCTTTTTCAGCACAAGTAGTTAGCTAAAGGGAAACAACATGAGAAAGAATGTATATGATGGGGTTCCTTGGTTATTTGTGTTTCTTAGCGTACCATTGCCTTCTTTCTGTGTTTTAGCAAGTCTGGTTCAAATGGAAAGCATGACTTTGGAGCTCCCAGCACTCTGTATTCAGTTACATAAGTTTCACTGCTTTTATTCTGAGCTCTGCCACATTATGGATCCTCAAGAATCCTGTGTTCTCAGAGCATTCTAAAGGCTATCTGTGCATGAGGCACTAAGGAACAGTGGACAAACACATCCCTTGTTTTTTGTTCCATTATTGCAGCAGACTTCACTTACAGAACACAAATTCAAGGATAAGTCAGGCAAGAGCAGAAAACCAAATGTGAGGTCCTTCCAAGTGTGGGTTCTTGTGCAACTACACAGGTCACCTGCCTGTGAAGCTGGCCCAATATGGAGATTGAATTTGTTAAATGGGGAAAACACACCCGGGAGGTTTATGTTTTGAAACTAAAGCAATTAAAATGGCAATGTACACTCTAAGAAATCAACTGCCCAGGAAAAAGACACTATGCTGAAGTTACAAAAAAAAATGAATGGCAGAATGCCTCAGTAAACATTGATGTAGTCAAAATTATTCATTAAGTTCCCTGTCGTCATGCTGCTTGCAGGGAGGTAACCAAGCCATGAATAGAGATGAATAAGGTCAGCTTGTGCGTGACATCCCATAGAATCTATCCTTCAAAGCTATGCTCTCCAAACTTCCAAACATGTATCAGTGTCACTGGAGTCGTGTAGAAAGGAAGGTACCCAGATCCTACTCCACACCTGCTAAATCAAAATTGTTAGGCAAGGTTCCCAGCTTCAAGATTTTTAATCAACTGGACTAGTTTCAGTAGTGCTAAGTCTGAAACTTTGCTTGTATTGCATGGAGAATCCAGTAAGGAATATATAAAGAATGGAATAAACGGGATCAATGATCCTTTTTAAGTTTCTGCATAATGTATTTTTCCCCTAAACTTTTTATTATGGAGAGTGGTAAACATTTACAAAGATAAATAGTATATTGAAACCCTGCATCCAAAACCTACTTTTCAACAATTATGAAATTATGACCATGTATCTACACCCCTATTTACTCATCCAATTATAATTAATTTTTAAATAATTCCAATCTGTCAGTTTTCAATCTCTACCTTGTTTTAGATTTCAACAGTTGCTCTAGGGATTATAAATTCCTTTTTCTGTTCAATTCAGTAGCCACTCACAGATTTCCTGGCAGCGTTATCTGTACATTATACTCTTGTCCTTTTCTTACAGTTTATCAGACCCTGGGTAAGTAAAACTCCACATTAGCTGTGCTCTTTTTTCTTGGGATCCTGTGATGAATTTTCTTTTTTGGCTTGAGCCAACCCTGACTAGATTGTTTTTCTATCTGAGCATTCTCTCTTTAACATATGTAGCCTCCATTATAGTGTTAACTGTGATTATTAAAAGAGCTCGTACACAGGTAAAGTTAGTTAATTCAAAGAAGTTAGTACTTTCTTTCCCCCATTCTTTGTAATGTGATCCCAACTTTGTTTTCTATTTAACTTTCTATATGACCTACCCAGCTCTACTCTCCCTTTCCTTCAAAACACTAGCTTATATTGTGTTCATGTATGAATATGCCACAATAGATTCCACCATTATGTGTAATTACAATGCAATTTTAAAAACTGAGGGGAAAAAAACACTACCTTGTTCTCCTGTGCCTAAACACCAATAGTTGTGCCTTCACCTCAGAGCACTGTAAAGCCCCACCCCACAAAAAGGGCCCTCTTTGAGATGTAGTGCTTCATGTCAGTACCGCTCAGTGAACTTCAGTCATCTTACCTGTCTCTTCCAATGGTTGTTGAGATGGAGACTTGTACTACTCTGGAAAGCCATCCTACTTGGTATGGAGTCCCATTAACCATTAATAGATTAAACTTGAATCGGCCATTCAAATTTTTTTGCAAAATTCCAGAGCTGCCTTGTATTTAAGAACAATAGAAACAGACAACCAAGCAAAATTAATGGAAAAAACGGCCATAATAAAATGTATTACCGATGTTCTGAATATTTTGATATCCAGATATTATCTTGTAGACTACTTCTTGCCATTCTCACTAGCTGTGGCTCAAAAATCTTTTTTATTATACAGTGTATCTTCATTTGTGGTCTTGGAAATGGCATCTTTAATTATATATCTGTATGCTTCCTAGCATCTAGCACCTAGGCCCTATCTAGTACCTACCTTTGATAGATGTAGCAAGCAGAATGAGGCCATCCACCCAGATGTTTTCAATATCCAACTCACATGGATAAAATATGTTGTGAGCAGGCCTCCCAGACAACAGGAATGAAAGCAGTGAGGACTAGCCAAAGGGTGATCAAAGATACAAGCAGTCAGGCTGGTTTAATCTCACCCAATTGACTGTGTGCCACATATTTTGTGCCTAGAAGCATAGCTGACCATGACTATCCAACATGCAGCTGTCTTAAGGATTCTAAAAGAAAAAAAACTAACCAGCAACTAATGACACAAACAGGATATATTACTTCCTTCTTGTGTCCTTAGGGAAAGATCTTCAGCACCTCTCATGCTCAATTTTTTTGTGAAATGTAAAATGAAAACAGAATGGCGATGAATTCTATTAAATATATATCAAGTACTCTCAGAGATGCTTTCAGTAATATTTAATTATTTTTTAAAATCAAACTTAGCTTTCCCCTCTGAATTGCCTAGCAAACAAATCATTTTTCTAGCAAATAACCATCTTCTTTGACGTATTTTTATATCCTTACTTTGCAAAGTGAAGAAATTTCATACCTTAAGCAATGCAGTGTTCTTTTTACTTGTCTCTGATAAAATTATTTCTGATCAAAACAAAACCAGAAATGGCTTCAGAATGGTTGATAAACTAAAATTTTAATTTTAATTGGTAACTTCTTCACTTGGCTCTTGGTAAGTTCCCAGCTTTTTCCCCAGCCCTGCACAGAGTTGCCTGTATAACAGGTCCTCCGTGTGTATTTGCTGTGGTTGTATAGTTTCCTGTGGCTGTCATAACAAATTGCTAGGGCATACCCAATCAACGATGATCTCAGATCAAGGTCCTTAACTGAATCACATCTGCAAACTCATCTCCCTTACAAGGTAACATTTACAGACTTTAGGAATTAGGACCTTTGGGTGGCCATTGTTAAGCATACTATAGTGGCATTTGGTGGTACACCATCTCAGGGCTGTGAACACAAACAGTGGATTTGGGAGCTACAGACAATGGAGCTCACCAAAAAAGTGGCTGGAAACCAAGTCTTCTATTCCTGGCTCCTGCTCTTCTGCATACATTCATTAATGGACCTTAGAAGAAAAATAAAGTAGGTCTTCAACCCTTGAAGTCCCTGTGAACCTTACTCTCCATCTCCAAATTCCTTATATTTTTAAAACAGAAAGCAAAAGAGAGATTCCAAAGGAATCAAATCCCAGGAGTATTCAACAACAACAAAAATACTGTTTTGCTTTTTTTAAATTTTATTTTACCAGCATCCATATGGAGGCAAGGTGAAAGAATATCTATACTAATGACCAGAAAAATTAGCAACAGCATCTTGCAAGTGTAAGGTACCATTTGCTTTGATGCCTCTCAAAGGTCTTTTAAGGGAACTTAATATCCTGGATTAAAACCAACAGAGGCAGCCAGACTAAGTGATGAGAGCAGAGAGGAAAAAGGCAACAGAAAATATCCTCCAGTTTCACTAAAAACTACCAACTATCAAGTTTAAAAATACAGTCTGATTTTTCATCCAAGCTCATGTATGACCTTTTTATTTTTTATGTGGCTGTATTCCCTCAGTAGAACTGAACAATCCAGTGGGAAGAGAAATGATCTAGAACAGAAGGTTCTAGAGCTACCCCACAAGCAGGGCTCACAAAGACTCTCCCTGGTGCATTCTGAATACCCTGTGACACTGACCAATGGCACCTCTGGGTTCACTTCCTGTAGCATCTCTGTCGTGCCACTGAGTAGCACTTCTCTGGGTGAAGGAAAGAGGTGCTGGCAAGAGGTGGTGTCTCAGACCACTCCTGTGTTCCTCCCATATTATGGGGCTTGAAAAATGTTAAGGAACTCATCATTTTCTTCTGGATTTCAAAAGGCAGGAAAAAGATTGGCATCATTGACTATATACACAGCATGAGGAAGGCTTTGCACAAACATGTCCTAGTTGATCAGTAACTTTCACATCATCAAGTTAATGCACAGCTCAGTATCAGGATGAAACTGAGACTATCGTGCTAAGTGAAATAAGACAATCCCCAAAACCAAAGGCTGAATGTTCTAATATGAGGATTCTGACTTACAATAAGCCAGAGGGAGGGAGGAGTGGAAGTTCACTGGATTGGACGGTGGGGAGGAGGTGGGGGAATGGGATTGGGAAAAAGTAGAATGAATTGGACATTAACTTTCCTTTGTTCATATATGAATACAGGACCAGTGTAACTCCACATCATGTACAACCACAAAAATGGGAAGTTATACACCATGTATGTATGTCAAAATTCATTCTACTGTCAAGTATAACTAAAAAGAATAAAAAATTTTTAAAAAGGAAGTTACCGATATCAAAATAAAGTCACTTTATGTCTAATAATATGGAGCCCAAAGGCCATGAAGGAGGGGCATTTGCACATTATACCTATACAAAAATAAAAAAGGGGAAAAAAACCCACAGGAAATTCTTTCTAAGCCACACTTTGCTCCATGAAACACACACAAGGACAGCTAGTCCACAAGGACAGCTAGCCGTACAAAGACAGCTATCCACCAGCATAAGAACACCTGCCTGACAGCCTCCACTAATGAACTGTCAACGCCTGTGATAAGACTCTGTAACCAGTACATGTACTTTTCCCTGCTGTCTTTAAGAGCTTCCTGTTGCCCCAACTTCCTCAAATGGGCCTCGCAGTGCACCATATAGCTCACCTTGGCACCATATCCTAGATTGCAGTACCCTTGCTACTCCTGAATTAGCTGTCCTGGAGATCCAGTCCTCTATTGTTTATTTTAGATATACAACAGTGATTTATAACCAGTTCTGTATTGGCAAATATTTGGTTTTCCCAAGATCTCAAAAATACCATCTTTAATCTCTGACCCCTACTCCAGGGAAGAAAAAGGGAAAAAAAAAAATACCTTGTGACTCAATGGCTTCTACAGTCATCTTCACATTAGAACCCAGGGGAAGGAGATGAGACATTTTAAACATTCCAAAATTCAGGCCACACTCCAAACCAACTATATAGCAATCTCTGGTGGAGGGACACAGATGGAAGTTCTCTATGCACCCAGGGGAGTCCAATCTGGAGACGAGGGTGGCAGCCTCTGCCCTATGTTACTTCCATTCTACAGCGAATATTTTCAAAATGCCATCCCCAATAAAAGAGACCCTCTTCACTAGCTGTAAGCAAGAAATTAGTTAACATTGTCTGTTAGAAGTTTTAATTACTAAACTTAATGTTAGATTCATTCCTTCTGAATGTGACCTTCTAAAGCAACAACTCTCAGAATGACAAGGGCCCATAAAAGAGCATCAAAGTATTTGTTCACTAATAGGAAATGCAAAGTGACAAAAATGCACTTCCTTCTGTTTATACATCACTATCCCCTGTGATAGTTTTCCATGTTTGTATTCAGTGCCAAGGTAACAAACAAATGCCCTCATAAACCACTAAATCAAGTGTGGAATATTACACATTATTTAGGACCCTAAGGGAAATTAATATTAACAACCGTGTATCCTTTTCAATAAGGTGATTAAATAAACTCGATGGTCTATAATCTACAAACTTAACTTACAGTTCCAGGCTCTCCTTGGGTGCTTTCATCCACCAGGAATCATTTCACTAATCTCTGCTTGAAAAAGCTGTCTCTCCATCAGTGGTGACACTCACAGGAGCCTATGGTGTGAATATGTTATTTTGACTCTTAGGCAATACTACTGCATGTTATCTATAAATCACATATTCCAGATGTAGAGGCACAGATGTTTTGAAGGTGAAGCAAAGATGGAATAATCTTCCAACCTCTGAAAACACCAACTGCAGTGTCCTACCTTTCCCTGGTTTTGGAGTCAGAGGTTCTTCATAGGGAACCATGTGACCCTGGGCCAAGGAGCTCCTGTTGAGGTCTCTATCACTTCCTGGGTACCAGGTCCCAAGTGTGTCCTGTAATTGCTGAGCGCCCTTCACAGTGCCTTCCTCTCTGGACACCTTAGGTCTTTAAAACCTTGAAAGCCAAGTTCTAAATGTAAAATTCTGTTCTCTATAGATAGAGCTTTAAACTTTATTTTGGTGGTGACTTAGGTAAATTTTGGGGCACTTTTTTTAACACAAAAAAGGCAACAAAGTGAGTTGCAGAAGAGTTCAGATGTGTAAAAAGCCACTCAACTGTGCTCTTGCATCAAAACAAACCCTCAAACCTCACAGATAAGGTGGTACATATTAGGTTAATAGCAGGTAATACATCCTGCAACAAGGACTATGCCTGCTTAAATTAGGAGTGTCCAAGAGCGCATCACTGGTGCTACTCACTCTGTCAATGAAATGTCAGCCAAAGGGCCTGAAGGTCATTCCAAGCAAGGGTCCTGATGAAACCAAAAAGAGTCAAGCCTTCATAAGATCCTACACCCAAGACAAGAAAAGTTTCTCATTTTGGCATTAAACTCTATTTATTTAGTATTTGAAACATGGTGTACATTTATGAATTTGTATAAACATTTAGTACATCTAAAATCCACAACTGGTAAACAATCTGTGCTTTCTTTTGTGTACAAGGTTGGAGTTTAACATCTGGATATTTTGGTGTTGTGGAGAACCAGTCTGTGAATCTAATCAGATTGCCTCATATTACCATAACAACTGTGACAGGAGTGATTTGTTCCTTAAAAGGGCTGCTGCTTGCCCAGAAAAGGTGTCACGCTTTGGAACTAATAAACCAAGTGTCCAGGAAACAAGAGAAACATGGCTGATATGAGGAGGAAAGTTCGTGCAGGAGATTCCTGGAAATCCACGTCAATGCACAACAGGCAACTGAAGCCAAGTGGTGACACCTAGTCTCCCCTGCTTCCCCACCAGAGGGGTTCTGCGCAGCAGGAGCTGGTACTCTCTCTGCTCAGAGGGTGCCCCAAGAACGTCACAGCTGAAGCTCGGAGGTGCCAACCAGGCCCAGGGCTCTGGCTTCTTCTGGAGTCAGGCCACTCTTCAGGGTCCTTCGCACTGCAGTGATCACAGCCAGAGACACAAGGAGAGAAGGAGGTATTATGAGCGAGGCATGCAGCAGTCAGTACACCAGTCTCCCCTCTCCCCAAGGACCCCCAGGAATGCTGCACAACACCCTGCTCTTGCTGAAGCACCCAGGGTAGAAAAGATCTTGGGGATACAACAGGGTGAGCTGAAGGTGATACTGTCCAGAAGGGAAAGGGGCATGGACTGGGGCTAATAAAGAGGGGACAGAGGAGGCGGCTTCTGAGAAACGGGTGCAAACTACACAAGTGCTCACGGCAAGTGGAGAGCTCATTCTCTGCCCAGCACACAAAGTGTTAACAGAGCTGGAAAAGTAATCACAAAGCCTGGGAACGCAGGCACTTCAGTGATAGGAATTAAGTAAAATAGTGCATGGTGAGGGGATCAGCAAACTTCAACAACCCTATGGGTCTGCAGAAGGAGCAAGGATAGCTAGGGACACATTGGAGAACTCATGGCTCCATGCAGCCAGGTGTTAAAAGACCCAGGGCAGCAGACAGGATGAGTTTCTCTATGAGTGTTATGGGTCTCAGTCTCAATTTATCAAAGGACCCTTGGGGACAATGATTAAAGTGAACAGCGATTCCTTGCGGAATGGATGCCAAGGAGCAAAACCACTGAAGAAAAATCACCAAACTTCTGGGTGGGTTTGGGGATGTTTTCTACAAAATAACACAAAGCTCAAGAAGGTAGTGACCACACCTTCATTGGTGCTCATGGCTGGAAACTGGATCATTGCTTACATTTAACTGACAGACTTCTGTGTTTATCTTGGCAATATGGTTTTTCCCATTGTTTGATCAATTTGGATGTCGGAATAAAGGCTGGATCAGGGTGAATGAGAAAGCAGCTGCCCCTCCCTAGATAAGTCCTTTCATTTGACAGATCAACCAATTACATTACCCTTAATTTACAAATCATATTTGGCCTGCTCTATATTTCTTTTAAGGTTAAACAGAGTCCAGGGTATTTATTCTATTTTCAAAAGAGTTGTGTCATGGATCTACCTTCCATTCTAAATCCCAAGTCAGCCATTCCCTGAGATGAAAACAGGCTTTTAATCAAAGTACAAAGGTCAAGCTCACCCTTAGTGTCTTTCCCTTTCTCCTGCCAGACCCAATTCCCCTCATCCCTCAGAAGCCAGGGGCTCACCTCATGGGAATGCAGGCAACACCCCAAATTCCCTACCTCATCAACACATGGACAAAAGCTCATTTAGTTAACAAAAAGAACTGAAAGACCTAGGCTCATGGTGGAATGAACAGAGACTAACACCTATTAATAAATGTCTTTGAATAGGAGCCAGTATCTAATGCATTGATTAGTCAACAAATCATTTATAGCAAGTCTATCAGATGCTCAACATTTAAAGAATTGAAAGTTTCATGGAAATCTCAGACATTAAATATGGATTCCTTAAGAATGGTGAGGGGTACCCCCAAATCATGCCACTCTTATTTCCAAACCTAGCTTTGGGCCCCAGACCTATCTATCTGCAGCATCTCCTGTACCCGCTCACCCTCCCCAAACTGGCCCCTTAGACTCCCAACTTAACTCAACCAGACCAAAAGTTTGGCTCCAGAGCCTTGACCGCAGACAGACTACACATAACTGAGTAATGGAATTTGTTCTGTGGGGCAGTAATAAAAACACTAGTTTGTAATAACTGTAATAACTGCCTCTGTGCTTTAAACAAAGTGTTTGTTAAAGAAAGATCATTTTTAATAGAGGAAAATAAGATAAAAATCTCTCCCCTTCTCAAAAAGGAAAGACAGCCAAGACTACTTTATCAAGATTCAAAATACTGCCTGAGGAAGTGCATGCTGTACTAGCAGGCATTTCAAATTCCATTAACCATAGAAGGCAGCATAGACACGGCCTGGAGACTGCCATCTCTGTGTATGTAGGAACATATTCTAGGGTGAAAGACTAGAGAGGCCCCACAGACTGATAGGAATTTCATCCATGAAGGTGTTTGAAAATGTTTCTTAAATGCTTCTGTTCACACATTTGCTCTAGTCCTGTAACTGATGTTCAGTTCATATAAAACCCTACATAAGGGCTCTGACACCTTTAGCTCATGTAATAATCTCATAGACACGGGCCTTGGGCTGGCCTATCTGCAGTGGAATCAGGGACAGATCAAAGCTAATTGGTGCTGCCTCAGCCTCTCCATCTCACTGCACAGAGAGGCTGTGCTTACCCCTGTGGGTTCCCACTCAGTTTTGATGCTTCAGACCACGAGGGATCCTCTCCCCCTTACCACACCCTCTGACCAGGGTCCAAGGGTCCTCTGTCATGGGGGAAAGCCAGCATGGCTTAGTTCCCTTTGCTTGCCAAATGACTTCCCCCCAAAATGAGTAGTCATAGAAAAATATGCCCCATTAATGGATCTTACTGTGTACCTTCACATCAATACCAATAAAGTTCATAAAAGAACCTGAGTACTGACCCCTCTTTGTGTAACATAAAAGAACCTGAGTACTGACCCCTCCCCTTTGTTAAAGAGTCAAAGTTAGTTCACTTCGCCACTTGAAAAGATGAATGAAAGTAATGAGTTGAAATCAGTTTTGTGCCCTGATTCAAGCCATGCCTGTCATTCATTCATTATTCATCCATCATGGTGGTCAGTCTGTTCATCATTCAGGAAATATTCCTGAGCATCTTCCCTGAGCCAAGTGCTTGCAAATGGAGGAGCCAGGTCAGGTTCTGACAGGGAAGAAGGGTAAGGAGAAACCCTCAGGGCAACAGAATGTGTCCAGGTTGGGAGTTGGCTCTCAAAGTTTTCCAAAAAGCAAAACAGTGCTCAGGGAATAAGAAAACAAGGGTGCTTACAAATAGGCTGCAGCATGTGGAACTGCACAAACTAAACCTCTAATTTTTCCATCAAATAGAGGTTATTGTCAAGTGAGCATATTGGGTCTTGCTCCATTCCCTATTTCTGCATCCCACTGAATGCTCTCCCACGTGACTGGCTCCCATCCCTGAAGTTGCTTAACAGCAGACTGGATGTTTATCTTTGTCTGCTTCAAGGCTCTTCCACACAGTGTGGGTCTCTTGGCTGGCACCAGCAGCAACCCTGTGCCCCAGACACTTGTGACAGCTCTCAGTGCCATGGTGATGGGGGAGGGGTTCTGAAGCAGGGCACCTCTTCAGTCAACATGCAGCACAGGACTATGGGGAATCAGGTGAAAAACAAGTTCTCTCTCCTCTCCTCCACCCTTAGAGATCAGGAAGTTTTTTAATCCTATAAAATGGTAACTCTTGGTTAAAACAAGTTGAATTTGAGAGCCATGGGGACAGCAGTTGTCATTTACTGAGTTTACAGAGAGATCTGATCACCTACACAGTAAGTGTGGAGAAGGGTGTTGGGCTGGCCATTCAGATCACAGCCACACTGGAGACAGCTGTGCCCTGATGATCGCTGGCAGGATGCTGACAATCTTTCATATTGATGAGCTAACCACTTTAGTTCCAAATGACAGAATTTTATTTCTGATCTTTCACCTTCAGATCACTGACAGTTTTGTGTGTGTGTGTGTGTGTGTGTGTGTGTGTTTGCATATGATGTTGAACAGGATTTGAAAATAAGTTTTTAACCCTTAATATTCTAAAGATTTTATACTTACTACCCTGGAAGCAGTGTGCCTAAGATCATAGGTACTGCATAGAAGTTTAAGATGCCTGAAATGGTTGGGCACAGTGATGCATCCCTGTAATCTCAGCTACTTGGTAGGCTGAGACAGGAGGATCTCTTTCTAGCCCCCATATAAAAGAGAACACTGACCTTTGACTTTCTGAATCTGGCTTATTTCCCTTAGCATGTTCTCCAGTTCCATACACATACCAACAAATGACAGCATTCTTATTTATAGCTAAGTGAAATTCCATTATGTATACACACACACTTTCTTTATCCATTCTTATGTTGATACCTGGGCTGGTTCCATAACTTGGCTATTGTGAACTGCACTTCTTTAAACATTGTAATGCATACGTCACTATAGCATGCTGATTCTAGATCTCTTGGGTAAATACCAATGAGTAGGATAACTGGGTCACATGGTGGTTCCATTTCTACTCTTTTGGGTCATCTCCATATTGCTCTTCAAAGTGGTTGTACTAATCTGAAGCCCCACCAACAAGGCATGAGTGTACTTTCCATGTATCCTTACAAGCACTTATTTCTATCCTTGATGATTGCCATTCTAACTAGAGATGAAGTATCAGTGTAGTTTTGATTTGCATTTCCCTGGTTAAGGATATTGAACATTTTTCACGTATTTGTTGGTCATCTACATTTCTTTTGAGAAGTGTCTATTTAGATCTTTTGCCCATTTGTTGACTGGGTGTTTATTTGGATTTTAAACTTACTTTATTCAGAATATTAATTCCCTGTTGGCAGAAGAACTGGCAAAGATTTTCTTCCTTCCTATAGATTGCTTTTTCATGCTCTTGTTTCCTTTACTGTGCAGAAGTTTTTTGCTTTAAAGCATACTGTTGTTTCTCAGTTTTATTTCTTGAGCCTGCACCAGTATGTTGGTGTTATCCTTATTTTTCTTCCAACAGTTGCAATGTTTCTAATTTCTAGGCCTTTGATCCACTTTAATTTTTGTGCAGGGTGAGAGGGGGATTGTTTTAGTCAGCTTTTTCACTACTGTGACCAAAAGAACTGACGAGAACAATTTTAGAAGAGGAAGTTTATTTGGCACTTATGGTTTCAGGGTATCAGTTCACAACTGGCCGACTCCATTGCTCTGAGCTTGAAGGAAGGCAGAAATCATTGCAGAAGGGTATGGCAGAGGAAAGCAGTTCAGGAGATGTTAATCAGAAAGCAGAAAGAGACTCCCCCCATCACATTCAAAATATATGCCCTAAAGGCCCATCCCCAATGATCCAACTACTCTAGCTATACCCCACCTACCTACAGTTACCACCCAGTTAGTTAATCCCTATCAGCAGATTAATACACT